GTGGTTTTTTTTTGTTGTTGTTCAGACTAAGGATATGCCCTAAAACAGCAGCTCATTTGTGGACAATCAATATTTTCACTAAAATGGTAAAATGATAGCCCATCAACTGTGGAACTGTTTGAGCAGTAAAGGGAACTCTTTTGGGGGATCCATTGTAATGTAAAATGCACAAGACTCAGAGGCAATTGGAAAGACAGGAAAATAGTAATAAGTGGAACTGACTGAAGACAAAATGTTCAGTATTTTCTGATAAAATTTTGTGTATTAAAAAAATTGAAATACAGTGTTAGTTCAGGTGTAATACATAGTGATTTGACAATTGCATACATTTTTGTGAACATAGGAGTGCATTTATCTTTTTGAATTAGAATTTTTGTTTTCTTCAGGTGAATAGCTAGAAGTGGAATTGCTGGATCATATGGTAGTTCTATTTTTAATTTTTGAGGCACCTCGATACTGTTTTCCACTAATTTACATTCCCACCAAGGAATGCACAAGAGTTTCCCGTTTTCCACATCATAGCCAAGACTTCTAGTCTCTTGTCTTTTTGATAATAGCCATTCTGACAGGCATGATGCAATAGCTCATTGTGGTTTTGCATTTCCCTGATGATTAGTGATGTGGAGCATCTTTTCATGTTGGCCAATCTGTAGGTCTTCATTGGAAAAATGTTATGTCCTCTGCCCATAATTTAATTGTTCTGCTGCATTGTATCCAGTTTCACCAAAATGAGAAAGTTGTTATTCTATTCTCCCTTTTTGTGGAAGAGACTCTATATAGCAACTGACAAAGCTTTCTAAATAATCCTTCTATTTACTTAAAACATTTTTTTTTTGAAGCGCTCCCTTTTTGGTTATATATATTTAAAATGTGATATGGAAATTAAATGGGTAATGGTACTCTATCAAAACTATTAGCATAATTTCCACAATTCTGTGAATTAGGCTGGGCATTACCTTATTCCACCAATTCTACTGTCCCTTTTGAAAAATTTAACCTCTGAAATCACTGATGGCCAGGGAGGAGCAGCTCTGACATATTTGTCCTCTAGACACACTTGAATGTCGTTGTTTTCCCTGAAGACCTTTGAAGATGGAGTAGGAATCCAGACTATTATCTGTAGACCTTTGTTGATAGCTTCCCTTAGGCTCAAAACCAGCAATGGCATCAAAACTTGGCCATTGGTATCAGTGACTTAGGTCCTGGTGATCATATTTGAGCACTTTAAAAAAAATGTTGTCACTAATGTTATTGGATAATATTGTTTTGAAAACAAGGGCATTACAATGTTATTTATGGTTGAACTATAAATGTGAAGATGTTTCAGGAATACCAGGAGAAATATCAATAACCTCAGATATGCAGATGACACCACCCTTACAGCAGAAAGCAAAGAACTAAAGAACCTCTTGATGAAAGTGAAAGAGTGAAAAAGTTGGCTTAAAACTCAACATTGAAAAAAACAAACAAACAAACAAAAACAAACTCAACATTGAGAAAGCTAAGATCACGGCATCTGGTCCTATCACTTCATGGCAAATAGGTGAGGAAACAGTGGGAACAGTGAGAGACTTTATTTTCTTGGGCTCCAAAACCACCGCAGATGGTGACTGCAATCATGAAACTAAAAGACGCTTGCTCCTTGAAAGAAAAGCTAAGACCAACCTAGACAGCATATTAAAAAACAGACATTACTTTGCCAACAAAGGTCTGTCTAGTCAAAGCTATGGTTTTTCCAGTAGTCATGTATGGTTGTGAGAGTTTGACTATAAAGAAAGCTGAGCACCGAAGAATTGGTGCTTTTGCACTGTGGTGTTGCAGAAGACTCTTGAGAGTCCCTTGGACTGCAAGGAGATCCAACCAGTCCATCCTAAAAGAAATCAGTCCTGAATGTTCATTGGAAGGACTGATGCTGAAGCTGAAGCTTCAATACTTTGGCCACCTGATGCACAGAACTGACTCCTTGGAAAAGACCCTGAAGTTGGGAAAGACTGAAGGCAGGAGGTAAAGGGGATGACAGAGAATGAGATGGTTGGATGGCATCACTAACTCAATGGACATGAGGTTGAGGAAGCTCTGGGAGTTAGTGATGGATAGGGAAGCCTGGTGTGCTGTGCTGCAGTCCATGGCAGCACAAAGACTCCGTGGACTGATTTGCAAAGACATGACTGAGCGACTGAACTGAACTAAGCAATTTATTTCACTTATATTTTCCTTTTCATGCATATATGCACAATAATGATATATAATAAAATTTGTGTCTAAATAGATATAAAAGAACACTTTCATTAAATAAAATGAAAATATAAGAAGATGTTATGGCATATTTTAAAGGGCAGCACTTTTTGATTCTTAGCATTATCTTACAATCAACTTCTTAGGTATGTTGAAATTGGTAGTTCTTTCATGGAACTGAGGTATAGGGAAGGTCTGGGGGGAAGGTAAAGCGTCTGCCTATAGTGTGGGAGACCCGGCTTTGATTCCTGGGTCGGGAAGATCCCCTGGAGAAGGAAATGGCAACCCACTCCAGTACTCTTGCCTGGAAAATACAAATGGGCAGAGAAGCCTGGTAGGCTACAGTCCATGGGGTCTCGAAGAGTCGGACATGGGCTAAGCGACTTCACTTTCAGGAGGGACATAGTCATTAGGTAGCAACAGGTACTGTGTCAGAGGCTGGGTGCCTTCTCCAGCTTCATTTGAAATAACCTATGGTATTTAAATTTCCACTTCACTGATGAAGAAACAGGTCAAAGATATTTTGAGCTAACCTTCTGAATCTTAGGTGCTACAGACATTTCGATATGGTGATACAACTGAGAGCTTGGAAAGCATGGACCAGAAAAGCAGCAGCCAATTTGAAATTGGTTTAAAGGTTCACATTTGCAGCACTTAAAAAATTTTGGAAATCAGCAGTTCCCTTGGTTTCCTCCATATAGAATTTAAAAAAATTAACAGCAAGAACAAACTTTAGCAATTGTGTCACTTTAATGAAGAATTAGTCAGTTCAGTTCAGTTACTCAGTCGTGTCCAAGTCTTTGCGACTCCATGGACTATAGCACGCCAGGCTTCCCTGTCCATCACTAACTCCTGAAGCTTCCTCAAACTCATATTCACTGAGTCGGTGATGCTATCCAACCAACTCATCTTCTGTCATCCCCTTCTCCTCCTGCCTTCAATCTTTCCCAACTTCAAGGTGGTTTCCAATGAGTCAGTTCTTTCTATCAGGTGGCCAAAGTATTGGAGCTTCGGCATCAGTCCTTCCAATGAATATTCAGGACTGATTTCCTTTAGAATGGACTGGTTGGATCTCCTTGCAGTCCAAGGGAAGTGTCTTCAACACCACAGTTCAAAAGCACTAGTTCTTCCGTGCTCAGCCTTCTTTATGGTCCAACTCTCGCATCCATACATGACTATTGGAAAAACCATAGCTTTGACTGGATGGACCTTTGTTGGCAAAATAATGTCTCTCTTCTTAACATGCTATCTAGATTGATCATAGCTTTTCTTCCAAGGAGCAAGCGTCTTTTATTTCATGGTTGCAGTTACCATCTGTGATGATTTTGGAGCCCAAGAAAATACAGTCTCTCACTGTTTCCATTGTTTCTCCATCTATTTGCCATGAAGCATGGGACAAGATGCCATGATCTTAGTTTTGTGAATATTGAGTTTTAAGCCAACTTTTTCACTCTCCTCTTTCACTTTCATTAAGGGGCTCTTTAGTTCTTCACTTTCTGCCATAAGGTTGATGTCATCTGTGTGTCTGAGGTTATTGATATTTCTCCCAGCAATCTTGATTCCAGCTTGTGCTTCATCCAGTCTGGCATTTCGCATGATGTACTCTGCATATAAGTTAAATAAGCAGGGTGACAATATATAGCCTTGACATATTCCTTGCCCAATTTGGAACCAGTCTGTTGTTCCATGTCCAGTTCTAACTGTTGCTTCTTGATCTGCATACAGATGTCTCAGAAAGCAGGTAAGGTGGTCTGGTATTCCCATCTCTTGAAGAATTTTCCACAGTTTGTTGTGATCCACTCAGTCAAAGGGTTTGGTGTAGTCAATAAAGCAGAAGTAGATGTTTTTCTGGAACTCTGTTGCTTTTCCGATGATCTAATGGATGTTGGCAATTTGATTTCTGGTTCCTCTGCCTTCTCTAAATCCAGCTTGAACATCTGGAAGTTCATGGTTCACGTACTGTTGAAGTCTTGCTTGGAGAATTTTGATCATTGTTTTCCTAGAGTATGAGATGAGTGCAATTGTGTAGCAGTTTGAACATTCTTTGGCATTGCCTTTCTTTGGGGTTGGAATGAAAACTGACCTTTACCAGTCCTGTGGCCACTGCTAAAGAATTAGTAGGGTCTTCTATAACTTGGGAATTGCTCATGGACTCATGCAGACGGAATGAAAGGCATGGCCCTTAACCTCGAGGGACAGGGTCACCTGTGAGGTGAATGAAACACAAAATTGATACCCTTTTGAATCTGTAAAAGATTCTGACAGTACAGAGATTGTGGAATATCTCAGGAGATATTCAAAATATTTACACGGGTTGATCAAGAGGTAAGTACGAATGATCACTCTTTTTAAAAAAGTAATTAATTAATTAGGCTGTGTCAAAGGTCCCCTGGAGGATGGCATGGCAACCTACTCCAGTATTCTTGCTTGGAAAACCCCATGGACAGAGGAAAATCCCATGGATATTTCGGTTCACAGTGTCGCATCAAGTTGGAAGTAGGAAGCAACTTAGAAGGCACACATGCAGGTGAAGTCTTAGTCGTTGTGCAAAGGATCTTCATTGCATCATGTGGATCTTTTGTTGTGGTGCATGGACTCTCTCTAGTTGTGGTGAACGGTCTCTGGAGTGTGGACTTCAGTAGTTTCAGTGTGTGAAGTTAGTTGCTCCAAGGCATGTGGGATCTTAGTTCCCTGACCAGGGATTGAACCTGTGTCCCCTGTCTTAACTACTGCACCACCAGGGAAGTTCCCAAATGATCTTTTATCTACATAATAATGAATATTTCTGGGATAAGACTCAGCACAAAACAAAGCTGATTAGTTAAAATTACCAAAGGTGTATAGGCGTACATTAGTTGCTCATGAGTGTCTGACTTTTTGCAATCCCATCTGACTCTTTGCAACCTCATGGATTGAACCAGCTCCTTTGTCCACAGAACTCTCCAGGCAAGAATAATGGAGTGGGTAGCCATTCCCTTCTCCAGTGATCTTCCCAATCCAGGGATCAAACCTGGGTCTCCTGCATTGCTGGCAAATTCTTCATAGTCTGAGCCATCAGGGAAGTCCATTGTTGGAGGAATCAACACTTTGTGATAAAAATAAAGGCTTGCAAAATTAGACTTGGTAAAATAGTGGCCACAAAAGTAGATGGTTAAAAAAATACTGGTATCAACATAAAACTTTTTTTTTTGTAGTAAAATTTATATGAAAAACCTGAACCCGGGATTTCTCTGGTGGTTCAGTGGTTAAGAAGGTAGGGGTCATGGGTTTGATCCCTGATTTGGGAAGATCCCACATGCTGAGGGTCAGCTAAGACCCTGCACCATGACTACTGAACCTGTGCAACTAGAGCCCATGCTCTGCAACAAGAGAAGCCACTGCAGTGAGAAGCTTGCACACCTTTAAGAAGAGTAGGTCTCCATGCTACCCACCCCCTGCAATTAGAGAAAACCCAGCACAGCTAAAAATTAATTAAAAAAACCCTGAACCCAACAAAGGTAATTTCAATAAAATAACCACGAAACTAGCAACAGTTTACTTCTACTTCTATTACCGAGTCCAGGCTCACTCTACTTGCCACATGATAGGCCAATGAATCCAAGAGTCGAGGTGTTGAGGTAAAGAAAGTGAAGTTGCTCAGTCACGTCCACAGTCTTTGTGACCTTGTGGACTATAGCTTAATAGGCTCCTCCATCCATGGGATTCTCCAGGCAAGAATACTAGAGTGGGTTGCCATTCCCTTCTCCAAGGAATCTTTCTGACCCAGGGATCAAACCCAGGCCTCCTGCATTGCAGGCAGATGCTTTACCATCTGAGCTACTAGGGAAGCCCTGATTGAGGTAAGGAAGAGACTTTAAAAAGAGCCAGCAGATCGAGAAGGTGGCAAGCTAGAGCCTCAAAATAACCAATTTATGTGGGTCTGGGTGCCAGGCTCTCTTATAGACTGGAGAGAAAGAAGCAATGAGAAACTAAAGTCAAAAGGCAGAATAGAGAGGGAAATGCAGTGGGGGAAATAAAGTGGAAGGGTCTTCAGTCTTGCAAAACATCTCCAAGGGAGTGGCCAACCTTCAGAAGGGGTGTGTTTCTTCTATTCACAGGTGGGCAGGGACAAACTTATCTGTCCAGGAGCTGAACAAAGGCACTTTAGTTTACAGTCAAGCAGAGGGGCAGGGTCCTCCAAGCAAGCAATTGAGTATGATTATAATAATAAAAGGAAGTTAAAAAAAATAGTTTCCAACATGGAGTCAGAATTGGGTTCCTTCCAGCAACACCTCTACAAAATTTAAGTAAGAAAGGAAATGGGCTTAATCGTTTTGTCCAGAAAGAAAGCCTCATAATTCATCAATTTGAGGGCATCTCCCTGGTGGCCCAGTGGCTAAGACTCTGCACTCCCAGTGCAGGGGGCCTGGGTTCAATCCCCCCTTAGGGAACCAGATTCCACCCCCATGATGCAACTGAAGATCCCTAGTACCACAGCTAAAACCCAGAGCAAACAAACAAATAAATATATTTAAGTTCATCAATTACAAAATTTTCCAAAGATTTATATTCAATCACAGATAGTGAGGAGTAGGATTTAAGTTCAAGTCTGGGACCTAAGGCTAGAAGATTTTCCACCAATGCTACTACCATCGTTAATACATGAAAGACAAAGAGAGATCACGCAGCTGATTTTGGATGAACGAGTTAATATGTTTCATTATTTAATCAAATAAGATAACATTAAATATTTTAAATGAGGTAAGATCCAAGTTAATCTCATTAAACATTTCTTGCAAAAGTTATAACATTCCACAGAAGTAGGAGGAAGGAATGTATTGTTTATATTTTACTCTAATAGCAATCATAACAAGGCATATATGATATAATTTAAAATATTTTGAATTATTATGAAGTTTTTTTTTATAAGAGTTTTTAAGCAAGGCTGTGTAAGGTAGCAGTTCCAGGAGTCCCTTCTTTCCCTTTGCAGGTCCACGTTTCTCTTTTCTCAGTTTTTCAATTATCCAATGCTGCTGGCTTGTTTTGAATCTTCTAGAAATTCCTCAATTTCTGGCCCACTGATGGTGATTTTCAAATATGTGTAATTCTTCTGTGATTTCAATAGGACTTAGGGAAAGAGCATGGTTTCGACCCATCAACTTGAACTATAAACATTAGGCAAGTAATAGCTTGATTAAATGGTGATTACAGTAAAAAAAAAACATAGTATAAACATTTTAAAAAAAGCAAACATATGAAAGAAATTCATCACTGAAGTATGACTAACAGCAGAGGAATGAAATGAACTCTAAGGTATTAGAAAATGTTAACATCGGACTTTAGCAGATAATAGTACATAATTAGGAGGAAATTTTAATTCCTTAAGAAAATTGTGATGAAAACTAGTGACATCAAGAAACCATTGCATCTTGTGTCTTGCAGTAAGCAGGCACTTAGAAATTACTTATTAACTGACTAGACAACAGTCAGAAATGCTCTGGGAGCTAATCCAAGATCAAATATCAAATGTGGTCACCCGATATATAAAATTTTATTTTATTAACAAATATATCTATTTATAAAATCCGACTTATAGAACTAGGAGCTAAGAGCTAGAGCGCCCCTAACCCAAATGCCTTTTTAATAGGACCATTCTAACCAATTCGCTTCCCTGGTGGCTCAGAGGTTAAGGCGTCTGCCTGCAATGCGGGAGACCCAGGTTTGATCCCCAGGCTGGAAAGATTCCCTGGAGAAGGAAATAGTAACCCACTCCAGTATTCTTGCCTGGAGAATCCCATGGAGAGAGGAGCCTGGTAGGCTACAGTCCACCGGGTCCCAAACAGTTGGACACAACTGAGCAACTTCACTTTCTTTTTTTCTTTAACCAATTTGCAGCTCAAGCTAGCTCTTGAGTCCCTTTTACACATCTTAAGATATTTTCCATATCTTACTCAATTTTAAATATAATTACAAATACATTATCATATTGCAATAGAATTATGAAATTTTCCAGTTGGTATCTCACTCGTTTTAAATAAAATCTGATAACAATTTTTTATTACGGGTAAACCAGCAGTTAACCTTGAAGATTGGAAAGCAACAGTTTAAGTTGGCTGATTAAGTTTTCTGGAACCATCAAAGGAGAGAGTAAACCTTACCTTTTTTTTTTTTTCTTCTTCTTGGTAAGGTTCTTCCCCCCACCCCACCCCCAAAAATAAATGACTACGGGTTTTGCAGAGATCTTTCTATCTTCAAGCTTTATTTTACATATGAATAACCTGGGTCGTGTTACAGGCAATTCATGCCGATTGACGTTGTTGTTCCTGAGTCGCTGAACTGTGTCTCACTCTTTTGCAGATACCAAGAACTGTTAAAATGCGAGGCTCCTCCGTCTATGAGATTTCCCAGACAATTCTGGAGTGAGTTGTCATTTCCTTCTCCAGGAGATCTTCCCAACTCAGGCATCGAACCCCTTTTCTTGCCGTCTTCTGCATCGGCAGGCAGAATTCTTTATGATTGCACCTGGGAAGCCCTTAAAAGCAATTGGAATAGGCAGGTCTGACAGGATCTCGAGGGCAACTGTGATAATAACCACCAGGTGATACTGCCAGTATGAACTCCATCCTTTGCATAAGGAAGGTATAAACTCTCGACAATCGTAGGTCTCTCAACTTTCCTTAACCCTAAAGATTTGGTCAAGTGCGCTTTTCATTTTGTAACGAAATAGTTTCCACAGAATGTTAGGCTTGTTAATCTCCCTCGCTTTCCAACGGGACAAAAGATGCAATTCAGGATCTCAGCTCCACCTTTTCATTCCAGTTTGTCCTAGGACGGCTTAGGGGACCAAGGTAGGTGTCTAAGAACCCAGGCCAGGCCACTGCCGCCGGTCCCAGTCAGCCGAAAAAGCCCACGCGGGGAGCCCCTGGAATGCCCAGGAGCCCTCAATCACTGAAGCCTGCCCTGACCAGAATCGCGCGGGCCCGCCCCTAACGTGCGGCCCCCAACGTGCGGCCATCCATTGGCCCGGAGGGCGCCGGGCGTGACGTCAGGCTCCGCCTCGCCGCTCCTCAGGCCCCGCCCCGCGAGGTGGCCTGGCGGTTTGGTCTGGAGCAGCTGAAACCGGTTTGAGCGGAGCCGCTTCCTGTAGCTTGGTGCCGCTGCGGGCTGCCTGAGGGAGCGCTGGCGAGGTGCTGACGGCCGGCACCCGGCACCTCGGCCTGCGACACTGACTGTCGGGTGCGGCGTCGGTGGTGGCGCTGACCCGTGGACCCAGCAGGTGAGGTGGAAGGCCGGGCGGGCTGGGCGGGCTGGGCGCTCGGTGCGGGGGCCGTGGCGGTAGCTCACGTGGCGGCCGAGCTGTCAGGGCTACGCGGCGGGGCGGGGGGCGAGTTGTGGGCAGGATCCCCCACCCCAGACGGGCAGCCGGTCGGGGAACAGCGGCCTGGCGGTTTGCTCCTGTAAATCGGTGGGTTACACATGTTTATTGTATTTATCGTTTGCTGCCGCGATTACGCTGTGCTGCCTAGTGCTTAGTTCCCGTATGAAAATTCTGTAGCGTTTTCGGTAATACCAGAATGCATAGAGGATGAGACCACCTAAGTATTGGAAGAACAATTTAGGGAACGAAGAAACGTAAATGCAGCAGAACTCGCTCACCGCCAGTCTCTGACTTCATCCATAAGTAATTCGTAGTGTTTTGACAACTGCTGCTTTTCTGAAATTGCTTATCCAAGTAGTCTAGGGCGTGCTTGTATAATTCAGTTATTCCAAGAAACCGAAGTGCCTTGCTTTTTTAGGAAAAGGTTCTAGTAATAGACATCAATGCCCTTGATACAATTTTAAGACAGCTGCCCCTTTTTCTAAAGCTCTACTTTTTCCAAGCTCTAAAAATTACCTTGTGGTAGAAAACCTAGTTCATCGACCCCCCTCTTTCCCCCTCGCCCGGATATAAAGGAAATCAGGCATGAATCATGAATTCAGTCACGAAGTGTGGAGATCTTTCACCATTGAGACAGCGGTCTAGTCTGATGTAACACATAGAGGAACTGGTTGGATGTTTGGGCTTGATGTACTTTTCTGTTGCCCTTCCTATTTCTGCTCAATTTTTATCCACTACTCCCCTCCCGGCCGCTTCTCCACCCCCCCCCCCCCCGCCCCGCCCCACCTCGCTACATTTCTGATAGTTGTGGCTTAACAGAAATAAATACAAGCTATCAGTCCTTTTTCCAACGCCTAACATTCTGGGTACAAGTAAGTAACATAAGGTAAAACAAACAGGTAAAACTGCACATGGTTCGGTCCTGTTCACATCACTAACGAGAACTAATACTCTAGTAAAGATGAGATTAGAAAGTGAAATCGCTCAGTCGTGTCCGACTCTTTGCGACCCTGTGGACTGTAGCCCACCAGGAGTAGATCTCCGTCCATGGGATTCTCCAGGCAAGAATACTGGAGTGGGTTGCCGTTTCCTTCTCCAGGGGATCTTCCCGATGCAGGGATCGAACCTGGGTCTCCCGCATTGCAGGCAGACACTTTAACCTCTGAGCCACGAGGGAAAGGTTGACTCAAATAGTGAGCACAAATGATATTTCAGTGGCAGAGTGAGTAAAATTTGGTATGTACAAAAGTAAGTTGATGAATCAAGTCTTTGTGTATAACTTAAACCAGGAAAAAAAATATAAAAATAATATCTAGACGTAATGAAAAAAATTTGGAATGGCTTTCTGGCATTGTGTAGAAAGATGATTAATGAGTTTACTGGCTTTATGAAATCTTCAGAACTGCTTTCTTAATAAAAACCCATCATGTCTGTGTACACTTGATTAAAGTATTGACTCAGTATACTGGGGTTGGACTAGAGGGGGATCATAATGATCCTCCACCAGGATGAGCAGAAGTTAGCTCAGGAAAGTGTAGGCATTTCATATATTGCTTTCTAATATGCACTGAGGAGGCAAAGCTGTTGGAGCCTAGAGAATTGGAAACAGCTTTTTTCTTTGAAAAAATATTTGAAGGAAAACAGTGAAATACGTATTTTTGGCTAGGAAAAAAATACAATTTTGCTGAAAATACCTGTGACTTCAGTTTAGCTCTAAATTGTACCTCTGTTTGTTTAAATCTCTCTTTTGTTCCCTAAGCTGGCAAGCTAGTAAAGGAATATGTTAGGATAGTTTATTTGATAAAAAGAATAAAGTAAAACTTACTCTGCCAGGTAGTATTTTTGAAGTATTTTTAAAATGTACATTACAGTGTCATTTTGCAAATTATTCGAGTCCTTAAAAAAGTGTTAAAATAGTGTTAAACGCAACTCAAAGTCTCAGATGAGAATGCTGTTTTAATACTTAACCTTCAGAAAGCAAAAATGGAGGTTATGTTTAAAACCAAAGCAAAAACATATCTCAGGAAGCATGTTTTGTACTTGAGGGTATAGGTGAATTAGTTAAATTACATATTCAGTCAGCTCATTTATGTAAAATGACTAGCATTTTCCATCTTATTCTTGTTGTATGTATCTAGAAGACCTGTCCCTGTTCAAGTTTAGATTTCCTTTGCATGTTTGGAAGAAGAGGAAATTTTGGTTGTGTAAATTTTTTGTTCCATAACAAAACAATATTTTACTTTGGTGGTAGCAGGGTGCCAAAATGGTACACTTCAGTCCTGCACCAGAATTTTGGCCTCTGTCCACCGTCAAGTAAACTGCTGTAGGAGTAGCTCTGCAGGCTTTTGTTTGGAATGGCCTTAAATTTGGGCATTGCGGGGAGTGGAACTTAAACAGATTATATGACTTTTTTGGCAGTCCAAGTTGGAGATGATGCTTTGTTCACACCCGGTGAGTTTTTTTTGGAGGGGTGGGGTTAATTTTGTGCTTGTGTATGCAGCTTTGGTATATAGTACATAATGTAAACTGCAGCTGTTTCCTGCCAAGTTACTATAGCCACTCTTACAAGCAACCTTAATAATGAGAGGCTCAACTGTAATCAGCTAATTCCCTTTTCATAAAATTTAATGCAGTAGAAATTCAGAGATTTTTTTTTTTACTAGGTGTTGATTTTAATACATAGGAATAATTACATCTGTTTCCCTAAAATTGGTTAAAACAGTTACTTAAAATTGATCAACAAATAACCAAGTACCAATTTTAAATTATATATATGAGATTGTTCTTAGTAATTGTGGCAGTAAGCATTGGGTGAAAGTTCAGGTTATATGTGAGATTGGTTATTCAGCAGTTTGCTGGATGATAGAGCTTTTTGCTTTGTCTCAATTCAGTAACTTAAAAAGTCTAGTTTTTTAGATAGCCTTAAGGTTTCTGCTTGATATGATTGATGTAGATAAGTGTAAGATAGATAAATTAAAAGTAGATTGCAGGGCTTCAATGAATCATTTATTTATTAGGAAAGGAAATCGTTCTATTCTTAGGGTTATACTCAGATTCATATCAAATGAAGGTTATTTGGGTTATATAGGTTAAATGGCGGGTAACAATCTAAAACTAATTTTAGATTTAAAACATTATTTGGCAGTGCTCAAACTGGATGTATTAATATATGTTTTAAATAGATCAGGTTTACTCTTAGACATAGAAAGTAGATTAGCATATGTGGTTTGATCAAGGAGAGGCTTTTTTCCCCTCCAGTGTGGAATCTTGGGTTTTCTTACTGAATGGAGTTGCTAAATAGGGATTTCTTGAGCCAAGTGACGTGAAACCACGTTGACTGATGGTCTTCCTGGTGGCTTAGCTGGTAAAGAACCTGCCTGCAATGTGGGAGAACTGGATTTGATCCCTGGGTTGGGAGGATCCCCTGGAGAAGGGAACAGCTACCCACTCCTAGCCTGGAGAATTCCATGGACAGAGGAGCCTGGCGGGCTACAGTCTGTGTTGTCACCAAGAGTCCAACACGACTGAGTGACTTTCACTTCACTTGATTATTTACTATATTTACATTTTATAATTGATGTAGGTGAGATGGTGCATAGTGACTCTTGATTTTCATTGCAGCCCCCACTAGGGTTAGTTATTAGAGATTCCTCATCCTTAGCCCTCTTGATACTTGGAGCTGGATAATTATTTGTGGAGAGCTGTTCTATGCATTATATGGTGTTGAGCAGCACCACTAGATGCCAGGAGCATCACCTACAGTTGTGGCAACCAGAAATGTCTCCTGACATTGCCAGATACCCTTAGAGGACAAAATTGCTTCCAGTGGCAACTGCTGCTTTAGATTTATCTGCTTTGACTTGAAAGTGTGGTTAACTGTGGGTGTTCAGTTCAGTTCAGTCGCTCAGTCGTGTCCGACTCCTTGCGACTCTGTGAATCGCAGCACGCCAGGCCTCCCTGTCCACCACAAACTCCCGGAATTAGTGTTCATTAAATGACCATTGTGGAGTTGTGCATATGTTCACAGGGAGGGGAACGGAGCATAGCAAAAATGGAAAAATGAATAGCTGAGAAAGGTACTTCAGGATTTTTTTGGAATAAAATGTGTAAATGCAAATAAACAATATTTAAGCTGGAAAATTAATTGATATGACACAGATATTGGAGTTCTCTTAGGAACATTGATGGATTGAGGGTACAAAAGTTTTATTGGAGGTGTTGGGATAGGTTATGTACAATATGATGTGGCCTTTCGTGTGGAGTATGTGTTCTTTCTATATTTAAATTCTATAAACTGCGTGAGAATTGATGTACATTAAAGTCTTTAAAAATTTCTTATCTTAAGTACTTAAATAAAAAGATGGTAAGGTGAATAAGTTGGTTAGGCTGGGAAAAACAGCAAAGAAATTGAAAGCAAGCTGGAGCGAAGATGTGGCTAAAGGAGTAAAGGACACCAAGAGCTTAGGGGTTTAGATTTCTGTAAAATAATGGAAGCGATTCTAAGCCAGGTATGCGAGAAACATTCTAATTGACATAAAAATGTGTTGTTGGAAAGCGATTGGAAGACAAAATATAAGTAGGAGGCTTGAGTTTTTAAAGAAGTTTAAACTTAGAAAGGCATGTATGTAAGATAAATTCATATCTACAGGGTTTGGTAATAGATTGCAGAGTTGAGACTGCGGGACTGTAGTAATGATGGCCCTATAGTTAATAAAGAGAAACTCGAAAAGTGATTTGTGGGGGAATGGGTTTTGTCTTTTTTAAGCCATCAGGTCATTTAGAAGCAGATTCTCAAACTTGTTACAAAACATAACCAGTTTGTTTCAGTGGATGGTGCTTACGTTCTTTGGTTGTTTTCTTGTTATTAAAATTGGAACCTTCTTAATTAAAGTAAAAATACTCTTGAGCCAAGCTTTTTTCTGTCTGTAGTTGTGTGTGTGTATATTTCCCTCCACTGCAAACATGAGCCTGGTCAGGAAAGATAGGTGGAGTTCAAAACAGCTGCTTATTAGAGGAGTAACTGTGTGATAAGATAGTTTTGAATTCTAAAAAAAAAGCTTGGACACACTTGTTTTGAAGTTTTTTCTGGTCCATGCATTCTTACAGAATAGGTTTGTAACATTAGGCCCTAAGACTTGCCAGGTGATTCCCAAATAATTCAATCTCTCTATATAAAGTCTCTGAAATCTTCATTTTTGTTTTGTGCTTTTTAGCTTATTTCTTGGTGGTAGCTATCTAGATATACTATAAATGACATCATCTTTTTCTTTATAGCACGACATCCTAAAATAAATCCATCAGAATGACACCTTCTCAGGTTACCTTTGAAATAAGAGGAACTCTTTTACCAGGTATTGTAAAGCTTTACTTTTAAACATTTTTAAAAATTGCATTTTTCTTATCTGGATTATCTTAAATATAGAGTTGTTACTAGAGTGGACCTAATTTTTATTTATTTTTTAAATATCTTTCTAATTTTTAGATGAAAGTATCTTCAGGGCATGCCTGATAACTGAAATGTGCTTGGAGCATAGTAAGCTCAAGGAAAAAAACAAAAAGCTGTCTCAAATAATGTCTTATTCTCATATTTTCCAGGAAAGCTGTGAATTTTGCATAGGATAAAGATATATGAGCCATGTTTTTTTTGGTCACACCCACAGCTTGTGGGATCTTAGTTGTTCCCTGACAAGGGATTGAACTTGGGCCCTCAGCAGTGAGACAGGTTTTAAGTTGCATGAAAATGATGGAAATGTTTCTAGTGTGAAAAGTTGGTTAAATATTTGGCTAAGATAAATTTGTTCCTTACTTGTACATCTATTTTTTAAAACTTCATTGTATTTTTTGCTGTCTACTAAAGCAGTGTGAAATAATTTTAGTGTAAGGTGGCACGTCAGAGCAATCACACCTTGGGACTTCCCTGTAGTACAGTGGTTAAGACTCCTTCCTGGCTTCCATTGCAGAGGGCGTGAACTCTATTCTTTTTCAAACTCTGGTCAGGGAACTAAGATCCTACATGCCTGCATAGTGTAGCCCCAAAAATGAACAACAGAAAAATACAGTATCATGCCTGGGTTATATACTTCCTTGTTTAATGCACTCTGGTTATTCTGGCCAGTCCTCAAATCTGTTGCATTCCTTTTCTCCTTTGGAACTTTCTCAAATTGTTTCCTTTGTTTAGATCTGTGCCCCTTCCCACCACCTTTTAACTCACTCATTCTGTATATCAAGCATCTTTGATCCAGTAGCTATTATAGCACCTGATAGTGTGTGTTTGTCTAACACACATTCTTAGCCAAGATGATCTTGTACAGCTCCATCTCTGGGCAAGATTCTGCAGGTTGAAGATTGCTGGTCCCTTCGGTCCAGTACTCACCTCTTATCTAGTGTGTAACCTCCTTTGTGGAGAGAAGACTGCAGACCTGTATCTTTTATTGACTTTTGTTCATAGGCAGTTTAAGCTAGAAGGGGCTGACCATGTCAGACAAATAGGATAACCGCAGAATTAGCTCTAGAGGAGTCAGCTTGACAAGGTGTAATTCCTGAAGGACTAGAGGGAAGATAGTGGTAGATGTAAATGTAGGTGAATCTAAGTGGGAGGAAAGGAGGTGGAGGGACAAGAAGGACTCTCACCTTCTGCCTAAATATTGTGTTACCTTAATTTCCTCCCCAAAGCAATAAGGAAGTATTCTCTGCTAAATGTGGAGAGAGTGCAGAGAGGGGTGAAGTTAGAGGGAACAAGTTAAAAAGAGTATGTGGCAGTACTGTTTGAAATTCCTTTAGTTAGCATTCAAGTCTCCTGATAAATGAAAGCCAATGAAAGAAAGCGGTCTATTCTAGTAAAAAGTTTCCCTTTTTTCCCTCATAGAAGCCATATTCAAAGGCAATCAGCAGAAAGAGTAACATTGTAGGAGGGTGTTGGTAAAATGCAGGAGCTTTTATATAGAAGGAGAGTAACCAGGTTTGTCCAAGTTTCACTTTTTTCTATGTCTGATACATGTTCTTTCCAGAGCAGAGAGTAGCTACTGTTTTGTGTGGGAATAGGAAATAACTGAGTCCATGAAAAAGTTTGCTGAGACGCTCCTTTATAAAAGAAGTATAACAGGCCTGAGCCAGTGATTTTACGGTAATCTATACTTTGAGCTAGGAACCATCTCATATGCTATACATATGCATAGCAGCATTTGTGATCTTGAGAATAAATATATGTGCCTTGTATTTAACAAAAGTGTTTATCTTTCTTTAAATCAGAAAAGGTAGTGATAAGTTAATTGCAAAAAAAAAATCTGATTACTTTAAGGATTGGTGAATATTTTAACATGAAATCTTTATGTATAACCACCATATGCCTTTATAGACATGTATTTAGAACCCTGAAAACTTCTGAATGACTATCACACTTGTGATTTTAGTTAAGTTTTAGACAGTCCAAGTATACAAAATGCTCATGCAGGTCGCTGAAGCCAAGTATAGCTTCAGTCTTACTAGAATAGTGTCCAAAGCTTGGAAGCCAGGCTACACAGAATGTGAAGGAGCTTGTCCTGAAGTTTTGTTCATTTGGGCTCAGTTCATTGTCTTTTTCTTCATGGATTTTAATTACAGTAATTCAGAATGTGTTGATACATAAGTTAAAGACTTCTGCATACTTACATTCAAGAATTTGTAGACTTTTCCTAAATGTATGAAATTAGCAAATATAGGTGATGTTGGTTTGTGTGTTGAGAAGTGTTCAGATCAAGTGTGATAGTCTTATTTTTTTTTTTTAGTAAGGAATACTAGATTTTTCGCTAGTCTTGTATTGAGGGTTTTTTTTTTTTTAAGTGATGGTTACATTGCTTATGTCCCATTGATAATTTTCTTGATCTTTAACTTCTTGATAGCCACTGTTTGAGTTCCTGGAAAATATCAATTATTATTTCTCTAAGATACTTATATGTCTTTAGTGTTTGCCCCTTTAAGTTGGAAGCTGCCTTGAAGACAAGGACTGTGGTTTGATCACTTTGTCTTCTTGGTGCTCATTATTGGCTCAGTAAGTAGTTGAAAAATGAAGAAAATTCTGTCCCTGTAAAACCTTCTTTTTCTCTGCCTTTGGTTCTGTAGAGGTGGGTCAGATTAATACTGCAGGTGTAATCAAAACAGAACCACCCCCCCCCACCCCCCGCCAAAAAAACACCACACACTAGTGTGTGTGCCACCTGGGTTTAAACCCATTCCTCCAGTGAAGCCCTTTCATCTCTGTTAAAGGGGACTCTGTAGCCTGTTAAACCAGTGCAACATCCTAAACAAAATGAGATGTTCGTACTTAACCCAATATGTTTTTTTAGGAGAGGTTTTTGCAATATGTGGAAGCTGTGATGCTTTGGGAAACTGGAATCCTCAAAAAGCTGTGGCTCTTCTTCCAGAGAATGAAACAGGTGAAAGGTAAGCATGGACATGTCATAGTACCAAATAATTGTGACATTCAGATTATAAACTTGTTTGTTTTTTTTTTAAGGTATCTTGGTGTATTTTTCTTTTAATTTTTAGCAAACTTATCACATATGCATAGAGAGTAAAGTCATTTTACAAACTTTGCTGTGAAAAACAAGTTCCTTTGTTTCTCAGTTTTGACCTCAAATAATTTCAGGTCTTGGCTGTTAGCTGCATCTTTTGGTACTAATACCATGTTTCTAAACAGGCTCATATTGTTGTTTCTTATTTTAAAAATCTTTTTAAGACATTGTGTTTGGCTTCTTGTTACATAGTCTTTTTTAAAGATCTAATTTTTGCTTTAGCGTAAGAAATAATTTTCTTGAGACATGTATACTATTAAAAGCAGAGAGTGGAACACATCATTAGAATTTTTAGCTAATGAAATGAGTTCACTACTGACATTAATTGCAGCACTAAACTTAGCATGGGTGTGTTGGTGCATTGGAGTGGAGAAAGGAGGGCCTGGGTGCCAGTTTCAGTTCTGTAGTTAACAGTGATTTGGGGCAGATTCCGTATCTCTTAAGCCTCAGTTCCCTCATCCACATGGTTAAGAGGTTAGGATAGAATCAGTGATTTCAACAATGGTAATCCTTCACTTGCAGATATTTTTAAGTGTTACTGATTGTCAAGATGTATGTGTGGGGGTAAAGGAGAGATGAGATTATAAGTAGTGTACAAATACATGCAGTGCCCCCAGGGAGAAACATCAGATTAGATGATTATTAAGCAGTTCTACTAAAACTGTGGCCTGTAGACCCAGTGTTAGACAAAAAACATTTTTTATTAGTGCATGATGTGAGAAATGCACAAATTGAGAGCAAGTGTTTTGAAATGCTTAACGGCAATTTGACATTGCTAGGACACCGATACATGTAATGGACTTACTGAACTGGATGTGTTGTAGACGAAGTATTGGTAGGGTAACACAAACAAACAGAAACTGGTCCTTCACAGCAGATAGTTTGAGGAGCACAGGGAAATAACAGGGAAAGTAGAACAAGACCATAATGTTAGCTTAGGAAAAGAAAACAAACACATAGAATACCATTTTCTCTGTCATTTGTGTGACACGTTTTCTCAGCCAGTTCTCTTCTGTTTATATATATAAGTTAAATTCTGTTGACAAATGATACTGGGATCACAGACAAACGAAATATTTATTCTCTTCAAGTGGCTACTTTTTTCTTTTTTTTTTCTTTTATATTAAAAAAATTTTTTTTGTTTTTATTTATTTATTTATTTAATTTTTTTTTCTTGATTTGTGGATCCGTCACTCTTGTCTGAGGTGAAACCTCATGTCCTTTTAAACTTGTTTACCTCTGCTCTGAATTCTTGAGCTGCCCCATTATCTGTCTTCTCATTGCAGTGCCTTCTCTTGTTGTGAAGCAGGGCACTAGGGCCTCAGGGCTTCAGTAATTGTAGCGTGTGGGTGCCATTGTTGTGCATGGGCTTAGTTGCTCCCTGGCATTTGGGATCTTTTAGGACCAGGGTCTGAACCCATGTCTCCTGCATTGGCAGGCAAATTCTTAACCACTAGACCCAGGAAAGTCCTGAAAACACTTAAAAAATTATTTAAAAAGATGATGATTTAAAGCACTTTTAAGAGGCTTTTTAAAAAAAGTACATATGCTTAGGCCCTACTCCTGGAAGATGGATAAACAGTGCACGGGAGAGGGACCCCAACACATTTCTAAAGCTTCATATTAATTCTACTGTGCACATCTAGGGCAAGTTTCACTTAATCTGGTTGATTCTATGTATGAAATAATACTGGACATTTGCCATAATTTTGGTAGCAGAGATGGGAGCTAAGTTTCACCCCAGAGTTGGTAGAATCTGTCAGAGCCCTGTGTTGAAGAGGATTCTGAGGCTTATCAGGGAGAAGTCGTCATGGCACATGTGCTGAGCACTCGATCTGCCCTTGCTGTGCAGCAGTGCTTCTCAGCCAACCGTATGCATCCAGTGTATCGAGCTCCATGTGACCAGGCTTCACCCCAGACCTATGAAACCAGTCTCCCAAGGTGGAGCCAAGACATATATATTTTATTATTGCCAGGTTAATCTGATAGTTGTAGCTGGAGACCAGGGGTGACAGCTGGTTGTGGATATTTGTTAGAGACCAGAATTGAGTCAGAGTAAGGGTAATGCCTTAAGTCTGTCTTGGCAGAGCCAGGTGGGGAGCAGGGCTGACCATCTGGTGTCATGGAAGAACACTCGGAGCTCCTGTTTAGTCACTGAACTATTCATGCTGAATTAATGTTTGAGTAATGACCGATGATATGGGCTCTCAAACTTAAGTGTTCATCATCAGAGCCTGGAGGCCTGTTAAATTATAGAGTGCTTGGACCCTCCCCGGGAGTTTCCAATTCAATAGTTCTAGATGTATTCTGAGATTTTGCATTTGTACAAGCTCCCAGGTGATATGATGGTCCTGAGACCACACTTTAAATGCTATTTGTCTATGATTTGAGGTTAAGAATGACTTATAATCTTGAATTGTAGTGAATTCTTTCACTGTTGAGTCCAAACTTTAGAAATAGCATTTAGAATATGTTAGAATAGTATAGTTCAAAGGAAGACATTAAGTTGTAAGACTTACTTACAAAACAAGTAAGACACAGACTCTGCTTGACTAGGGGGTAATAGCTAGAGGCTGGGCAGGAGAATAAGAGACAGTGGAAACAGGTGGTTAAGTCAGTGACCTTAGCCTCAAAGCCTCTTAGCAGCCATGTAACATCACTAGCTAAGTGAAAAGTGAAGAGATGCAGAAGTCTGCAGTGCTTCTTGCCTTTTTTTGTTTGGAATATTTCTGGTTCCTTTGTATGAGTCACTGTTTTGGTCTCAGCTCAGACAGCTCTTGTTGAGGTCTCCCTCCAAAATTTGTCCCCTCAGATCAGCTAGTCCTTCCTATGTTTATTTGTCTACTCATGTAAGCAAGCAGTTCCCTTGAAGATAAGACTTTTTCTTCCTTACTCATCACTATGTTTGATGCCTAAAGCTCAGCTTCTCTGTATATCAGTGCCAAAATGAATCTTGGAGACAGGTTTGGTTGAAGTAGAAAGGGACAGCTTTATTGCTTTGCTAGGCAAAGCAGGTCACAGTGGGCTAATCCCCTCAAAACTATGTGTCACAAATTGGGAAAGATAGCCAAAGTTTTACAGTAATTGCCCAAAGAAGGCGTGATCAACTCGGTGGACATTTCTTCTGATGGGTGAGATAATTGGGAGTCATCTTCATCAACCTTCAGGTCTAATGGGTTTGGGGTCTTCATGCCTGTGGGCTGCATGCCATTAACTTCTCCCACCTGGAGGGGATTTCAGTATCTGTAAAATAGCTCAAAGATAACTGTTGTATGTATCCTTAATAGGGAAACAGGACCTTGCCACTAGGCTGCTCTTGACTGTTCCTTTCTCCTTGGTCTTCCATCGCCTCCGTTCCCTAATTAAGAACTGCTGGGAAAAGGGAACCCTCTTACACTGTTGGTGGGAATGCAAACTAGTACAGCCGCTATGGAAAACAGTGTGGAGATTTCTTAGAAAACTGGAAATAGAACTGCCATATGACCCAGCAATCCCACTTCTGGGCATACTCACCTAGGAAACCAGATCTGAAAGAGACACATGCACCCCAGTGTTCATCGCAGCACTGTTTATAATAGCCAGGACATGGAAGCAACCTAGATGCCCATCAGCAGACGAATGGATGAGGAACCTGTGGTACATATACACCATGGAATATTACTCAGCCATTAAAAAGAATTCATTTGAATCAGTTCTGATGAGATGGATGAAACTGGAGCCCATTATACAGAGCGAAGTAAGCCAGAAAGATAAAGACCATTACAGTATACTAACACATATATATGGAATTTAGAAAGATGGTAATGATAACCCTGTATGCAAGACAGAAAAAGAGACACAGATGTATAGAACAGACTTTTGGACTCTGTGGGAGGAGGCGAGGGTGGGATGTTTCAAGACAGCAGCATCAAAACATGTATATTATCTAGGGTGAAACAGATCACCAGCCCAGGTTGGGTGCATGAGACAAGTGCTCGAACCTGGTGCACTGGGAAGAGCCAAAGGGATCGCGTCGAGAGGGAGGTGGGAGGGGGGATCGGGATGGGGAATACATGTAAATCCATGGCTAATTCATGTCAATGTATGACAAAAACCACTACAATATTGTAAAGTAATTAGCCTCCAACTAATAAAAATAAATGAACTGCTGGAATCTGCCCGTTGGAACTCAGGGAAGGTCATGGAGACTGAATGAAGGTTGTTTCCTATTAATCAAAGAAATGGGGGACACAAAGGTCTTGTGCCCAGGACCTCCCTGGGGCCTGGCATGGTATTATGTTCCCAGTTCCCAATTGATATCAGACCTCGAGTAAAAATTTTTGTAGGATAAATGGTATTGATTACACATCTTACTTGAAGGATTTTATGAATTAATGAAGTCTTGCATTTTAGTTTGATACTGATGCTGCTGCTTTCTTTTTTTCTCACAGCATGTTATGGAAAGCAACCATTGTACTCAGTAGAGGAGTATCAGTTCAGTACCGCTATTTCAAAGGGTGCTTTTTAGAACCAAAGGTATGTTTTCTTTATCTAGTTTCCAGTTTCTTCAGAACACTTCTTTCAAAAGCAAATAACTTAAATTTGGAAACATTAAAAGTAAAATGAGTTTGTTTTGATCAAATAAGGAAAAAAGAACTCTAGATTAATAATGTTTCAGTACCCAAAAGAAAGGAAATAGCCACTTCAGAGGCAGACAGTGTGTACAGTGGAATTTTTTAAAGACTAATAGTAAGTATGTTCTGCAATATTCTTATCATGAAATTGGTTTTAATGATAAATGTTCTTGATAGGGGTGCATTTTCTATAACTTTTGTAAACTAGTTAGTAACCCAGTAGTAAGGGTTTTTCTGTTTGTTTCATGTTTTTAATTTGTCTGTGGTAAAATATATTTAGAGGAGTATATAGCCAACTCTTAAGTAACTGTTTTAAAAATTATTTCACTGCAGCCAACTCTTAGTGGCTGCATTAACTGCTATCAAAACTGAAGTCATTCTTTATAGATTTTTTTCAATGATGGTGTTGATAAATCAGGATCTTTTCTAAAGGCTTTGGAGTGTCAATTAGCTCTAAATCTGCTTGCTCACAATGGCTTATTATTTTGGGATCGTTTTCATGTTTAGAAAAGAAAATCGATTCTTATTTTAAAGATAGTTGCTTGCTGAAAGGATTCTTTTCTTTCAGATTTTTATCTGAGCACACATTGGGCTGCATGTGAAAAAGAGCTTAAGCAGGAATCTAGGAAGCAGAATGTGGATTAGATCTTTTTAAAAATGTATTTCCCTGTGGGGTCCTTGAATACTAGTTACCTGTGAGAAAAAAAAAGCAAGCAGCCATTGTTTCCTCAGTCTCTTTAGCCACCATTATAAAAAAAAAAACCACAAAAAAACTGACAAACCCACTTCAGCTGTCTTTTGCACCTATTACGTTTCTTATTCCAAAAATATATTGTGAATATACTCAGTAATTAAAATTAAATTACATTATAGTTGATCATTATGTTGGCTTATCTTGACAATAGTCTCACTTTAATGGCTTGGGAAAAGATCATTTATTTGGCTGAGGGGTTGTTCATTGTGGCAGAATTCTTTAGTATACAGTGAACATTTGTGCATAGAATGTTGATCATAGCTCTCATGACTAAGCTTATTTGAGGATCCTAGTATATGAAATCTGTAACATGTGAAATTAACTAAATTTTACTTAAGGGGGCATATGGACAAGAAAAATCATAATGAATCATTTGGGCATAGTTTCCTAAAGTAAGACTGTTGGCAACACAGGTCAAATTAAGCCAGTCTATTTTCTCTTTTCATTGAAGATGTAACCAAAAGCAGCAAATCAATCCAAAATGTCTTTTCAAAAAATTGGCAAGAATTCTGTTTATAGTAAGAAACAAGTTTTTCCCCTTGTAATACTTGCAAAAGTTTACAGTATGTGTTGGTGAGTGTGTTTCTTTAAGTAGGTGCTCTGTATCGTGTACACATGTACCGTGTGATGCAGGGGCTGCCATGGTAAGTATATTTTTCATGGAATAGAGTAAATAGCCACATAATAAATTCCATGCATATGGCTAGAGATTTTTTACCCCCACATGCCAGCTTAAAGTGACGCTTTTCTTTTTAAAGTTGGTGGCACTTTTTAAATGAATAATGATTTTAAATAGAAACTTTGTCTCAGTTGTGCAATGATAGAAACAATGTGCAAGGAATCTTAAATTGTGAAATGATGTAAATCATTAGAGTATATATTTTATGAATATAAAGAATGATTGGAAAGAAAAATAATTGTAAAAGCATTGAAAAACTGAAATGGGTAATAAGGTTAATTTTACTGAGTCAAAAGTTTTTGGTAGTCTATCCTGGCAGTTGTAGAACCTAAGCCAAAAATCTTGTAATGTTGTCACTTGACCTTCAGAATTCAGCTTCCTCATCTTTAAAATGAAGGGTTTGAACTGTAGATTTTTTTAGGTTCCTTTCATTGCTAAAACTTTTCTATAGAACATTTTACCATTCATAGTTTCTCTTCATAATTTGCTCTTTCTGGCATATTCCTCTTAGTTTAGAAGAGTCTTGAGGTCCTTTTTCTCCTAATTTTTCATATTCTTATACTTTGTAGAATTAGAATAAGGTATTAATAATTGAATTTTAAAATAATTTTACAGGTAACATATATTTTATTTAAACATAACACACAAAAATAGTAGATATTCTTGGAATGGAAACATTGCTGTGAGTCTGCAGATAACCCATTATTTTCACATCTTTACCAAAGATAATTTTTGAATTAACATGTAACTTAAACATTTTTAAATCCATATTCACCCCTTTTTATTTGTGGCTGGAATTAAGGATTGTCTCATACTGAGATTATATTGTCTTTGAAATTTTTCATTCATTTCAGTGAAACAGCTCTTTATTTTACAGTAACATCTACTTTTAATTTTTACAGGTGTTAACATTCACTCATAATTAGATTCATTACAAATTTTTTTATCTCCCTTGGTTTTTGTTTAAATCTTTTAATAGAAGAATCAATCATCTGATAGGCACAGTTGTTTCTTACTGTTCTTATTAAAAATAGTGATTTTTAAATAATAATGTATCTGGCCTCTGACATAGATTAAAAATTCTTCAGAGCCCTTTTCTTTTTATTTTTCTTTTTTATGGAGACATCAATAGTTTAATGGATGGGGAAGCTTGCATGTATGAAACAAATCTTGGAGCAACACCCGACTGTGTGCAAACCTTGGCAGGCAGGACATGGTAGCAGTCTTCACTGTGGGTGGGGGAATGGGGGAATTACCAGTTGCAGGGAAACTGACTTCAGGTGTGAGCTCCTTTCACATGGCATTTGTTTCAAAATTGTAAAAAGAAAACAGTGAAATTTCTAAAATTTACACTTAACAGTTTTTATGATATTTGAAAGCAGTGATATTACATGATAGTGATAATTTTGCTTGGTGGTTTGTTAAAAGCAAAAACTGCACTCTATATGTTATATAATCTTTCTTGTTTCTTAGTGCTTGATGTAGCTGAATGATGTCAATCAATAACTTTAAGAAAGCAGTCAATATTATGTTTTTCTGGAAACTTTTTTTTTTTTTGTATTTTTGTTAACATCCATTTTGAAAAGTGTTCCAGCAATCATCTGATTTGATACATGCTAAGATGGGCTTCCCTGATAACTCAGTTGATAAAGAATCCACTGGCAATGTAGGAGACCCTGGTTCGATTCCTGGGTTGGGAAGATCCCTTCGAGAAGGGAAAGGCTACCCACTCCAGTATTCTGGCCTGGAGAAATCAAATCTATGGACTGTATAGTCCATGGGGTTGCAAAGAGTCGGACACGACTGAGTGACTTTCAATAATAATAATAAAAATAAGATGTGGAATAACTTTAACAGTACTGTTACTAGAATACTGTCTTGGGCTAATAGTTACTTTTTTTCTCCAAAGAGCCACCTTGCATTTCACTCCAAAACACTTAACATTTTGATAGTCTTTTACAGAATGGAACCCTTGTTTTTTTCTAAGATCTTGAAGAATGACTTATTACATTTAGAGTATTAAAAAGGACTACATGTTTTGGAATTGTTACTGAGATCTTTAATTTCCCAGTGCCCAAGTATTTTAAGATTACCTTCTAAAGTTTAATAAAGTAGGCATTACAATTTTGGAAATTCAGTGTGTTTTAAGATTTGGTTCATTTGTCAGTACCGTAACATTTTATGTACCAATCATGAATTTTTAGTGTGAATGCTAGTAGACTCACTTACAAGCCATCTATTGAATTGGCCCTTTGGACTGCTCCTCAAAAGTCCATTCTATTCGAGCCTAGTTTGCTTTATGCTATGATTAGAGGGTTTGTTACTAAAACAGACAGGGGTGAGGTTTTTAAACTTAATCACTAAAATATGTTCACTTTCAAATGTTTAATCCATAGGGTTATTCTTAAATGATTATAGATACTGCAGTCAACACTTTGTGAAATTACCCTGATACCAGAATTAAAAAAAAACAGACTCTCTTCTACTCACTTTTAATGCCCGCTGGTATTTACTGTTACATTCATGGCACCCTTTCAGGTCACATTTCATTAGTAACTTTTGTAACAATATGGATCTATACCATTTTTGTAGCAAAGAGGATTTTTTTTTGAGGTGCTGCAGAGGACATGGGGGTTTGGAAGAAGGGAATAGGTTAGTTAGTTCTGGCTCCCCGTTATTGCGAAGAAACATTCCTATTTTTAATGTGTATATGCATCTTTTGAGATTATAAAGTTTTATCTGTGAAAATACAGAAAAATGACAGCAAAAAGTTTTAGTAAAAAATATCTAACAGATGCAGGATCAAATATTCCTTGTTTCTAAACATAATTCACTGTATTTTAAGATGAACACTTTGACATTACATTTTTTTAAAATGTCTACACAGTTTATTATCAATTCACAAGTGAACACTTACAACAAGGATGCATTCAGCCGGGGAAAATGAGTTCCTGAATTGTCCCAGGATTAAGGAATTGAATGCATATCTAATGCAATGTTAGTTTTCAAACTTTGAAAGTTTGCAAGTTTTAAATAAGGTTTTAGCCTCTGGATATTTTAAGTAGAAGAATTCTCTCTTGCCTAACTTGTTACATACTTACTATCATTTGGCACATTTATTACATCAATAATGAAATCCTAGAAAAAGTTACAAAGAGTATTTAATGCCATCTGCATATGTACTACAGGGAGAAATGTAAATGTTCCAGACTTAAGAGTATGTATAATACATACCTAGAAAAGAGTTTGAATATGTGAAAATATTGATAGTGATTGTCTGTAAATGATGTGATAATGGGTGATTTTGTTTTCTTTTTGCTTTTTTGTATTTTATTAAATTTCTTTTTCAGGAGGAAAAAATACCTTGTTAGATTATAGTTTGAAATTTTGCTTTTAAAATATGTAAAGGATTGTTTTTGGCACATACGTTTAATTAGTCAAGTTTTTTTTTTTTAATGAAAATTCGGAAGCACTTCATACTTTAGTTCCTTAGGAACACTCAAAGGCGTCTTTGTGGTAGTTCATTCTAGGTTTTAAATTGCTGTAGACATTATCAACAATACATAAGGCTGGGCTTTCGGTGGCTCAGATGGTAAAGAAACTACCTGCAATATATAGGAGACCTGGGTTCGATCCCTGGGTTGGGAAGATACCCTGGGGAAGGGATTGGTTACCCACTCCAGTGTTCTTCCCTGGGAAATCCCATGGACAGAGGAGCCTGGCAGGCTACAGTCCATGGGGTTGGCAAGAGTCAGACATGACTGGACAACTAACACTTTTACTTTCACTTTCTTTTTAGTAAGACAACTTGATAACAGAAGACAAGTATTATAATTTTTCACACTGTATGAATTTATAAACTTTGAGGCATGAAGAGTAAAACTGGATGCCTACTCCCATTTAATTAAACTTCAGATTTACCCATGCATGTTTCCTTTCCTGAAGGAAAGGGCTTCTTGTGCTTCTTAAAAGCACTGGTTACTCTGATATGAGGATCTGATATTTTTCCTGTTACCTACTTACCTGTTTTTAAATACATGAAATGAAGAACTTTATGATGCCTTCTAGTTCCTTGCATACTTGCGATAATTGATCTTGCAGTATTTGTTCTTACTGTTTATTTCTCCCGGAGAGTTTCAGCTTTTTCCAAACCCTTGAAGAGTTACTTCAGATGAGATACTTCTTTCAGTAATCACATTGACTGCCAACATATGGAACATAATGTATATTTGCTGTTAATTTAACTCAGAACAGAGTATCAGTTAAAGATTAAACTGAGTATTGTAGGCAGATTAAAGAATGGGTTTAGAACGGTTTTATGTGCCAGTTCATCTCATTTTTCTTTGTTTACTGCCTCACCCTCATTTTCTTCCAGCATTCATCATGTTTTGTGACCTGTTACATTTCTGATTTGGGGCAAATAATATTGATATTAACAGGATGAATCTCTTGGTTTCATGCTTAGTATAAGACTTAGGCCACAAACATCTAATGACATCATGGGTAGAAAATAAGATACAAAAAATTATTGCAGACGTTTAACTTTTAAATTGCAGACTATCGGTGGTCCATGTCAAGTCATAGTTCACAAGTGGGAGACTCATCTACAACCACGATCAATAACCCCTTTAGGTATGGGCATTAACTGCATCTGTTTGAGGCATATGCATAAAGTTACTAATATGCTGCACATTGGCTTAGTGGGATTTAATAAGTATTTATTTTAAAGTTTAAGGTAAATGCATTGTCAATACTACAAGTTTCACTTAGTGTCTTACTTTCAAAACTAAGCAGTTCTTAATTGCCTTTCTTCATAAACTTAATTAGAAACCTTTGCCTAGTTATTTTTAGTTTCTTGGATTAGATGACTTTATGGAATATATATTTCCATTTGGAGTAGTTAGAAAAGTTTGTAAAATAGCATTTTTCTTAACTGAGCATCTGTCTGTGGCTTTGATTACTTGCTCAGAGAACTTAAAGAACATTCAAGGAAAGAACTAACACAAAACAGTTGTTCTTTTAACTTTGAGTAGTATGTTATTTTATTTATTGTGTGTGTGTTTTTTTAAACTAGTGAATATTTGAATAAACTTGTATGAATGAATTCTAATTTCCTGGTTGTAGCAGACATTTTCCCCCAATACCCTGCTGCCTATGTTAAAGTTGCTATTCAGATAAATTTTTTTTTGTTTGTTTAAATGTTACTTAGTTTTTGTATGCCTAACAGTGGCATTTCTCTTCATACAAGTATTTTTGAATTTCCTTTTCCATACTGAGATTGAAATTTGAAATTCTTTTCACATACATTAAATTACCCACTTGGTTTCGTGTATAAATTAGTGCTGAGAAATCTTTTAGTTTCTAGAGAAAATTATAATTTAAAGATAATAAATGGCTTGTTAGTTACTAGCTTAGATTAGAAAATAATGAGTGATTCTGCTTTACCCTGCATCAAGGACACATCTCTTTAAACAAATATCTTGTTCTATCCTCTGTTGGATTTTCTTTTTGCATGTTTTAATACATTTCTGATATTATATTTAGAATTGTTATGATAGTGTACTTTAGAATTATACTGAGTTTGGAAATTATTAGGAATTGCATATTTTAAAAATGCATTTTGAAGCATCCTGCAATTAAATATATTTTCTTTGAGAGGTAGGATGGTTTTGTTTCTGGTCTTTTTAATAAATTTATTTTAAGCTTTTGGGAAGTATAACTTCTGAACTTAAGAGCTGTGTGAAATATACCAGAGAATCTTTACTGGAAACTGTCACACTTATTTTGACAACTACTTCAGATTTATGTTTAGAGTAAACTGGGGAATGAAGTAGCAGGGAAGATAATCAGTATTTTACTTAGAGGGTGGGGATTAACAGTTTTTCTCATTTAGTTGACATTTCTGTTGTAAGGGAGCACTTACCTTTTGGTAGTTCCTCACAGCTCTATGTATACAGGTAAGTTTATGCTGTTTGAAAAGCTTTTAGCTGGCTGTAGAGAATGGTTGGGGTTTGAGGAGCATTATATTTTAGTTAAGATCAGAATAGGCACTATGTGAGAATAAGCATTTTAATTGTGCCAGTACCTTTGGTTTGAAAAAAACCAGGCAATATTGTTGTCCAGCAACTTGTCAGTCTCATACATTGGTTGTATAAACATTTGTCCCAGTGCCTGTAGTTTGGAGCACCTCTCTGAGGAGTTTTCTTTTCTCTTCCTTGTAACATTGTGAATAATCACCATGAATGTAAGAACTGTTACTGTCTGATAGCCTCCTTAAAAGGGGTTTCTTTATTGAGGGCTACAATAAATATGCTTATTCACTTTGGGATGCTTTTATATTTTTAATTAATTAAAAAAAATCCTTAAGGTGGGTAATTTCTCAGTTGTTCATTCAGTATGTATATCATGAATTTTAACTAAGTTTTCTATTTTCCTTCAATTTTAGAAAGTGAAATTATTATTGACGATGGACAATTTGGAATCCACAGTAAGTGAGACTGAGTTTTTAAAAATCTTCATTCACATGGTTGAGATCTTATATAACATTTCATTAGAAACAGCACAGAGACATAAGAGTATGATTTTTTTTTTAGATTATTTGTCTATTTGGTTTTGGTTGTACTGGATCTTTGTCTAGTTAGGATGAGTGGGACTTGCAGTATGTGGGTTTCTCATTACAGTAGCTACTCTTGTTGCAGAGAACAGGGTCTAGGCACAAGGGCTTCAGTAGTTGCAGCTCAGGGACTCATTAGTTGTGGTGCATGAACTTTAGTTGTCTGTGGCGTGTAGAATCTTCCTGGACCAGGGGTCAAACCTCTGTCCCCTGCATTGGCAGGTGGACTCTTAATCCACTGGATCACCAGGATCTACTGTATCACCATGCTGCTTGTGGAATCTTAGTTCCTCAACCTGGGGGATCAAACCTGTGTCCTCTGCAGTAGAAGTGCAGAGTCCTAACCATTGGACCACCAGGGAGTTCTCTCCAGTATAATTCTTATGCTTTATAATTTCATCTTTTGGATTTTTATTTGGCTGGTAACTTTAGGTGTATGAATTAATAGAATTAAAAGTATTATACTTAATGGTTACTATCTCATCACTTAACACTACTGTGTTTGAGAATATTAATTGTTCTAAACCTTTAAATGTGAACCATTACTCATAAGCTGCATTTTTGCATTGTTTGTATGTGCATTTATACTAAAATCCAGATTAAGGAGAATGTTCTAGTCATTCTGGCTGAGTAAACAATTTACAGTGGAGTACAGTCTCTAGGCTGGTGGGCTCTAGTTGTGGTGCCAGGGCTTAGTTGCCCTGTGGCATGTGAAATCTTATAACCAGGCCAGCAAACGAGCCTATGTTCCCTTCGTTGGTGGATGGACTCCCATCCACTGAGCCATCAGGGAAGTCTGCTGCTGCTGCTGCTGCTGCTGCTGCTAAGTCACTTCAGTCTGACTCTGTGCGACCCCATAGACGGCAGCCCACTAGGCTCCTCTGTCCCTGGGATTCTCCAGGCAAGAATACTGGAGTGGGTTGCCATTTCCTTCTCCGGTGCATGAAAGTGAAAAGTGAAAGTGAAGTCGTATCAGACTCTTAGTGACCCCATGGACTGCAGCCTATCAGGCTCCTCCATCCATGAGATTTTCCAGGCAAGAGTACTGGAGTGGGGTGCCATTGCCTTCTCCGTAGGGAAGTCTGGGCCTGAGTGTATTGATTGTGGTTTTACTAGGTACATATGTTTATCCACTTTACAGATGTATATGCTTTTGCAGTGTTTGGACAGTAATTTAACTTATTTTCTTGATTTTGTTTGGAATTATTTATATTACATCATAAAGTAGTCTAACACTTGAGATGGTAGTGGTTTCTCTTTATGTATAAAATTTTGATAGTTAGGAAATCAGACCTAAGGAGAAAATTTCCTTGATTTTTTTTTTTTTTTTAATCCTGTTGATGGAAAACTTAGGTCCAAAACAGTTCGCAGCTCCCTGGTATTTATGACAATGTTATTACTTTTATTACTAAGAAACTTCAAATTAAACAGTGCTAGCAGTGTTAGCACAATCATGCAGTTTATCAATGACAGACTATGTAGGTGGATAATACTTTTTTTTTTTCACTTAAAACATTTATTTTTCATTGAAGGATAATTGCTTTACAGAATTTTGCTGTTTTCTGTCAAATCCCAACAATGAATCGGCCATAGATACACATATATCCCCTCCCTTTTAAACCTCCCTCCCATCTCCCTCCCATCCCATCCGTCTAGGTTGATACAGAGCCCCTGTTTGAGTTTCCCAAGTCATATAGAAATTCCAATTGGCTATCTATTTTACATGTGATCATGGAGGTTTCTGTATTACTCCTTCCATACATCTCATCCTCTCCTCCCCTCTCCCCATGTCCATAAGTCTATTCTCTGTGTTTCTCCATTGCTGCCCTGTAAATAAATTCTTCAGCACGATTTTTCTAGATTCCGTATATATGCATTAGAATACTATATTTATCTGTATCTTTCTGACTCACTTCACTCTGTGTAATAGGTTCTAGATTCATCCACCTCATTAAAACGGACTGAGATGCATTCCTTTTTATGGCTGAGTAATATTCCATTGTGTATGTGTTCCACAACTTCTTTATCCATTCATCTGTCGATGGACATCTAGGTTGCTTTCATGTTCTAGCTACTTTTAAATAGTGCTGCAGTGAACAATGGGATACATGTGTCTCTTTCAATTTTGGTTTCCCCAGGTTATATGCCTAGGAGTGGGATTGCTGAGTCCTATGGTAGTATTACTCCTAGTTTTTGAGGGAATCTCTGTACCGTCTTCCATAGGGGCTGGATCAATTTACATTCCCACCAACAGTGCAAGAGTGTTCCCTTTTCTCCACACCCTCTCCAGCATTTGTTGTTTGTAGACTTTTTGATGATGGTTGTTCTGACCAGTGTGAAGTGATATCTCATTGTAATTTTGATTTGCATTTCTCTAATAATGAGTGATATTGAGCATCTTTTCATGTGTTTGTTAGCCATCTGTATGTCTTCTTTGGAGAAATGTCTGTTTAGGTCTTTTTCCCACTTTTTGATTGGGTAGTTTGTTTTTCTGGTATTGAGTTGTATGGGCTGCTTATATATTTTGAAAATTAATCCTTTGTCAGTTGTTTCATTTGCTACTATTTCCCCCATTCTGAGGCTTGTCTTTTCACCTTGCTTATAATTTCCTTTGCTGTGCAAGAGCTTTTAAGTTTAATCATGTCTCACTTGTTTACTTTTGTTTCTATTTCCATTACTCTAGGAGGTGGGTCATAGAGAATCTTGGTTTGATTTATGTCATCAAGGGTTCTGCCCATGTTTTCCTCTTAAGATTTTTGTAGTTTCTGGTCTTACATTTTGGTCTTTAATCCATTTTGAGTTTATCTTTGTGTATGGTGTTAGGAAGTGTTCTAATTCCATTCTTTTACATGTAGCTGTCCAGTTTTCCCAATACCATTTATTGAAGAGGCTGTCTTTGCCCCATTGTATATTCTTGCCTTCTTTGTCAAAAATAAAGTACCCACAGGTGCATGGGTTTATTTCTGGGCTTTCTATCTTGTTCCATTGGTCTATATTTGTTTTCGTGCCAGCACCATACTGTTCTGATGCCTGTAACTTTGTAGTATAACCTGAAGTCAGGAAGGTTACTTGCTCCAGCTCCATTCTTCTTTGTCAAGACTGCTTTGGCTATTTGGGGTCTTTTGTGTTTCCGTGTGAATTGTGAAATTTTTTGTTCTAGTTCTGTGGAAAATGCCATTGATAATTTGACAGGGATCGCATTAAATCCATAATTGCATTTGGTAGTATACTCATTTTGACAATATTGATTCTTCCTACCCAGGAACATGGAATATCTTTCCATCTGTTTATGTCATCTTTGATTTCTTTCACTAGTGTCTTATAATTTTCTTTGTACAGTTCTTTTGTCTCCTTAGGTAAATTTATTCCTAGATATTTAATTCTTCTTGTTGTAATGGTGAATGGAATTGATTCCTTAATCGCTCTTTCTGATTTTTCATTGTTAGTATATAAAAATGCAAGTGATTTCTGTATATTGGTTTTGTATCTTGCAACTTTGCTAAATTCACTGGTTAGCTCTAGTAATTTTCTGGTATTATCTTTAGAGTTTTCTATGTCCAGTGTCATGTCATCTGCAAACAGTGAGAGCTTTACCTCTTTTCCAATCAGGTTCCTTTCATTTTTTTTTTTTTTCTTTGATTGCTATAGCTAGGACTTCCAAAACTGCATTGACTAATAGTGGTGAAAATAGACACTCTTGTCTTGTTCCTGATCTTAGGGGGAATGCTTTCAGTTTTTCACCATTGAGAATAATGTTTGCTGTAGGCTTATCATATATGGCCTTTACTGTGTTGAGGTAGGTTCCTTCTGTGCCTATTTTATGAAGAGTTTTAGTCATAAATAGGTGCTGAATTTTGTCAAAGGCTTTTTCTGCATCTATATGATGATTATATAGTTTTAATCTTTGAATTTGTTAATGTGGGGTATCACATTGATTGATTTGTGTATATTGAAGAATCCTTGCATCCCTGGAATAAACCTAACTTGATCATGATGTATGAGCTTTTTGATGTGTTGCTGAATCTGTTTGCTAACATTTTGTTGAAGATTTTTGCATCTATGTTCATCAGTGATATTGGCCTGTAGTTTTCTCTTTTGTGTGTTGTCTTTGTCTGATTTTGGTATCAGGGTGATGGTGGCCTCATAGAATGAGTTTGGAAGTGTTCCTTCCTCTGCAATTTTTTGAAAGATTTTTAGAAGAATAGGCATTAGCTCTTCTCTTAAATGTTTGATAGAATTCTCCTGTGAAGCCATCTGGTCCTGGGCTTTTGTGGGAGATTTTTTATCACAGCTTCAATTTCAGTGCTTACAATTGGATTGTTCACAATTTCTATTTCTTCCTGGTTCAGTCTTGGAAGATTGAACTTTTCTAAGAATCCGTCCATTTCTTCCAGGTTATCTATTTTATTGCCATAGAGTTGTTCATAATAGTTTCTTATAATCCTTTGTATTTCTGCATTGTCTGCTGTGACCTCTCCTTTTTCATTTCTAATTTTGTTGATTTGATTCTCTTTTTTCTTGATGAGTCTGGCTAAAGGTTTGTCAGTTTTATTTATCTTCTCAAAGAACCAGCTTTTAGTTTTATTAATCTTTACTGTTTCTTTCATTTCTTTTTCATTTATTTCTGCTCAAATTTTATGATTTATTTCCTTCTACTAATTTGGGGGTTTCTTTCTTCTTTTCCTAGTTGTTTTAGGTGTAAAGTTAGGTTGTCTATTGACTGTTTTTCTTGTTTCTTGAGGTAGGATTGTATTGCTATAAACTTCCCTCTTGGAACTGCTTTTGCTGCATCCCATACATTTTGAGTTGTGTTTTCATTGTCACTTGTTTCTAGAAATTTTTTTGATTTCCCTTTTGCTTTCTTCAGCAACCTGTTATTTAGAAATGTATTGTTTAATCTCCATGTGTTTATGTCAAATTGTTTTTTTACAGTTTTTCTTGAAATTGACTTCTAGTCTCATAGTGTTGTGGTCTGAGAAGATGCTTGATATGATTTCAGTTTTCTTAAATTTACTAAGGTTTGATTTGTGACCCAAGATGTGGTCTGTCCTGGGTAATGTTCCATGTGCACTTGAAAAGAAGGTGTATTCTTCTGCATTTGGATGGAATGTCCTGGAGATATCAATGAGATCCATCTCATCGAATGTATCATTTAAGACTGTGTTTCCTTATTAATTTCTGTTTTGATGATCTGTCCATTGGTGTGAGTGGGGTGTTAAAGTGCCCTACTGTTACTGTGTTACTGTCAATTTCTCCTTCCATGTCTGTTAGTATTTCTCTTATGTATTGAGGTGTTCCTATGTTGGATGCATAGTTACTTAAAATTCTTACGTCTTCCTCTTGGATTGATCCCCTTAATCATTATTAGTGTCCTTCCTTATCTCTTCTAATCTTCTTTATTTTAAGGTATATTTTGTCTGATATGAGGATTGCTACTCCAGCCTTCTTTTGCTTCCCATTTGCATGAAATATATTTTTCCATCCTCTCAGTTTCAGTCTATATGTGTCTTGAGGTCTGAAGTGGGTTTCTTGTAGACAGCATATTATATGTGTGTTCTTTTTGTAATTCAGCCTGTCTGTATCTTTTGGTTGGAGCATTTAATCCGTTTACATTTAAATTAATTATTGATATGTATGTCCCTATTGTCATTTTCTTAATTGTTTGGGGTTGATTTTGTAGATCTCTTTTCTTCTGTTGTATTTCCTGACTATATAAGTCCATTTAACATTTGTTGTAAAACTGGTTTGGTTGTACTGAATTCTCTTAACTTTTGCCTTCTGAAAAGCTTTTCATTTCTCTGTCAATTTTGAATGAGATCCTTGCCGGGTACAGTAATCTTAGTTGTAGATTTTTCCCTTTCAGTACTTTAAATATATCCTGCCACTCTCTTCTGGCCTGCAGAGTTTCTGCTGAAAGATAAGCTATTAAATGTATGGGGTTTCCCTTGTATGTTACTTGTTGCCTCTCCCTTGCTGCTTTTCAGTCTAATGCTCTCCTAACTGAGCTATTCCGGCTAGCTCCTTGCTGCTTTTAATATTCTTTCTTTGTGTTTAGTTTTTGTTACTGTCCTGGTGTTTCTCCTTGGGTTTATCCTGTCTGGGACTCTTTGTGCCTCTTGGACTTGATGACTATTTCCTTTTCCATGTTGGGGAAATTTTCAACTATAATTGCTTCAAAAATTTTCTCATATCCTTTCTTTTTCTCTTCTTTTGGGACCCCTATAATTGGAATGTTGGTGCATTTGATATGGTCCCAGAGGTCTCTGAGACTGTCCTCGGCTCTTTTCATTCTTTTTACTTTATTCTGCTCTTCAGAAGAATTTCTGCCATTTTATCTTCCAGCTCACTGATTTTTCCTTCTGCTTCAAATATTCAGATATTGATTCCTTCTAGAGTATTTTTAATTTCAGTAATTGTGTTTGTCTCTGTATGTTTATTACTTAATTCTTCTAGGTCTTTATTTATTGATTGTTGCATTTTCTTCATTTTACTTTCAAGATTTTTGATCATCTTTATTATCATTATTCTGAATTCTTTTTCAGGTAGTTTGCCTATTTCCTCTTCATTTATTTGGACTTCTGTATTTCTAGTTTGTTACTTCATTTGTGCATTATTTCTCTACCTTTTCATTTTTTTTTTCATTTATTTTTATTGGTTGGAGGCTAAATATTTTGTGTTTGAGGTCTCCTTTTCTCAGGCTTCAAGGAAAGTTGAATTCTTTCCTTAAAGAAGGTTGACTTCTTTCTTCCTTTTGGTTTCTGCCCTCTTAAGGTTGGTCTGGTGGTTTGTGTGACCTTCCTATGGGATGAGATTTGTGCTGAATTTTTGTGTTTTTCTTCTGATGCGAAAGGCTGAATGAGGTGGTACTCCTGTCTGCTGATGATTGGGTTTGTATTTTTGTTTTATTTGTTGTTTAAATGAGGTGTCCTATACAGGATGCTACTGGTGGTTGGGTGATAGTGGGTCTTGTATTCAGGTGGTTTCTTTTGTGTTAGTTCTCACTATTTGGTACTCCTTAGGGTTAGTTCTCTGGTAGTCTAGGGTCTTGGAAGAGTCAGTGCTCCCACTCCAAAGGCTCAGGGCTTAATCTCGTTGGAGTCATGAACTGTTTCATGGCTCAGGAGACAAACAGCTCCAGAAATGGGTGGGTGTTGTTACTCGATAAAATCTTTCAGCAAATATTTGTTCGGTACTTGGTATATGTCAGGCTCTGTTCCAAACCCCTTTGCCTGTTAGGCCTCGGCTACCCTCTGGGTGGCAACCACCTCTTCCCTGCCTCTAGCATCTCCCAGTACATTTAGTTTGTTTGATTCTTACCTCCTGGTATCTCCGCTGCCAGCACTAGTGGAATAACTAGTTTTCAGCTGAGTATCTCATGTGACACTTTGGAAGTGTAACCATGGTCACCAGTGGAACAACTGCTAGGTTATAAGCCTTCTTGGGATATGTATTTTTTCTGAGATAGATTTGTATACTTTGATAATATATTCAATAAAAGTATTTTAATTTAGTTTGTTTAGTTCTTAATGTTCATTTAGTTTTTTCGCCCTTCATATGTATATACTTCATATAAAAGTTTTCTTTTAATGACAAATTTAAGACTACTTGTATATTTGCTCTGAAGAGAAATACCAGTGATAGTTAACCTGAGTGTATCAAACTGTGAATGTGAACTGGAGCTGTCAATGTGTCTTGTAGTTATTGGATTGTTTTTTAAAATGTGTATATTAATTAGTGTTCTTCATACTTTTTCTAGATGGTATTGAGACTCTGGATTCTGGATGGCTGACATGTCAGACCGAAATCAGATTACGTTTGCATTATTCCGAAAAACCTCCTGTCTCAATAACCAAGAAAAAATTTAAAAAATCTAGATTTAGGTAGGACCATGTGTATTTGTTACTTGACTTATTCATTTTAATCATGCTGTAGATTTCTGATCCATCTGGTTATAGGCTTTAAGTGTATCAACTGAGGAAATAGCATACTTGTATTCTAACAAACAACAGGGTCTTGTACAAGTGAATTTGTTTCCTTTCATGAAGATTACTACAGTTAAATGTACTTACGTTAGTCTTTATCTCCAAATGTGAAACCAGAACATCTTTTTTTTTTAACCTTACGTAAGTGATTTCTAGGCTGACATGTCTTTGTAGTTCCTACCATTTGAAATTTCTTAGTGTAGCAATAAGTATTTGTTTTAAAATTGATGTGATGAAATGATTTTGTGTTAAATGAGGGGAGAATGGCATAAACAGAAAAATGGTCATTGGAAATATACTTCAGTGTCCTAAATTTTTCTGTGTCTTAAAAACAAAAAACCTTTTCATTAAGGAAAGGTCGCAGTTACCATAGCAGTTCCAGATTAGTGCAATTTTAATCTTAATTTAAGAAATAGATGTCAAGCTTTGTATAAATAACTAAATAGTAACTTAAATTTTTGTAATGTCACCATGTATATCTTTGAATGAACTGATTTCTTAGGAAACCAGGCAGCCTTATCATTTGAATTTTTTTAACTTTGGGACCGAGAATTCTAAGTATGCTATTATGTAATGCAGCTTTTTCTAACAAAATGTCAGGACTGGGTTGAAAGGGTCATTTCCAGTAACTAAAGTAGTTAGTAATAATAGTTAATATCTATTTTCATGATAAAATTAATAATGTTGCAGTTTGTAAATCCATAAATGCTTTACAGTAACTGCTGAAAATATTATATTATTTATCCTAGTCATAGAATACATATGGGAAAGGGTGGGTGACACTTCTCAACCCTTTCCATTGGCCTGTTCTGAGAGTGAGTAAAGTGTTTTGGGTGTACCTTGTCTCTGTTCATTAGCTCTTTTAGGCCTCTGCTTTGCTTCTGAGAAACCTAGGTAATTGGACCACATAACTGATCTGCTCGGTCAGTTTGATTGCAAAGATTTTCTAACCAGATAGTCATAAATAATTAAATATTTTATTTACATGTTAAAAGAAGCATATAAGTTGTGTTATAGCTATTAAGTGTCTTTGTTTTATGACCTTGAAATAATGATGGTAGGACTTCTTGTTTCCACTGTAAGGGATGTGGTTCCATCCTTGGTTGGTGAACTAAGATCCTGCATGCTGCGATGCAGCCAAAAAAATTAATAGATAATTAATTGTGTTCTGATTGCTTATGTATACTGAGTCCTATGTTTTTCTTGTTTATATAGAAGTTGAGTGGTTGTATATATTGCTGTGTTGCTTAGGCTTAAATTGGAATATTTTTATAACCATACTTATTTGGACACTCCAAATTAACTGATTCTTACTGAAATAATTGTGCATAGCTTGCAATTGATGTTTGTTTTGACAATCTCTTTTCCCCAAATTCATAGTATTGATAGGTTAAGCCTTCATTTGCTAGAAAATAATTTATCTGCAAATTTATCATGACTATTTTAAAAGCTTAGCAACAGTGTTTGCATTTTAAATAAAACACTTGACATGATTTTTTTATCTCCTTAGCACCACATTTTATTTATTTTTAAAGACACATTTATTCAGTGTCATGATCGGACTGTTACATGTAGCAATCAACAGCATGGGTGCAAAAGAAAGTCTAGCTTTAAAACTCTCTCCTGGAATGCTTTACACAGAACAAACTTGAATAACCTGTTACACAATTAGTCACAAATACAGTCCTCAGGTTTTTTACCTATACAGATGAGTATTGTCTAAAACATCTTTCTTCATAGCTGCTGGGCCCTGCCACCACTGTGCTTGGTTGAGTTCACAACTCTGTTACAACCTGTGGCTTCCCTGTCACTTCTCTGCCTCTCCTCTCGTGCTAAGCTTTGTTTCCTGGCAGTAATTAAAACCTTCTGCCACTGCCGTAGCTACTGCTGCTGCTGGAACCACCAGAGTCACCTTGCTTTTGTGTTTTGGCAAGGTATTGGCCTTCAGTACCATATGAGCCAGAACTTCTCCCTCCAAAAGTTTCATCCTTTCATGAGTCCAGAATTTGAAGATTGATGTTGTAATTGCCAAAATAATTGTAGCTTCTGCCACCTCCAAAATTGTTTCCATTATTATCAAATCCATAGTCATCCTCACTGCCACCATATCCACCACCACCAATGGCTATCACCAAAGCCACCTGAAGTTTCCTCCACAACCAGAGTTGTCATCCTCACCACAGCAACCTCGTTGATTACCACCAAAGTTTCCAGAACTACTTCTACCTCTTTGGCTGGATGAAGCACTAGCTATCTCTTGCTTAGATAGGGCTTTCCTGACTTACCATTCACAGTATGGTATTTCTGAACGGCAGTCTTATCTACAGAGTCATGGTCATCAGAGGTTACAAAAGCAAAGCTGCTCTTTTTGCTACTGCCTCAGTGATTCATGATTTCGATCACTTCATTTTTCCCATACTGTTCAAATTAATCTCTTAGGTGATGTTCTTCAGTGTCTCCTTTAATGCTACCAACACAAATCTTTTTCACATTTAAGTGAGCAGTTTGAGAATCTTCTCTTGATACAACCCTCTTTGGTTCCACAACTCTTCCACCCATCTTGTGTGGTCTTGCATTCATGGCCATATCTGCCTCTTCCACTGTGACTTACGTGACAAACCCATGCCTCTAGAGCGCTTGGTATTTGTACCCCTCATGACCACAATGTCTGTGAGCATTCCCCAGTGCTCAGAATGGCTTCTCAGACTCTCCTCAGTTGTTTCAAAGCTCACTCCTGATGAAGAGCTTCTGCAGCTGTTTGGGCTCTCTGGGAGACTCCGAGTTGGACTTGCCTTCAGCACTGCTTACTTAGTGATTTCCACAAACCAAAAGCAGTAATCTAACAAGCAAATCTCACCACCACATTTTAAATACAAGTTTTTCTTTCACTTGATTCCACCAGAACTTGGAAAGCAGTGTTACTTTACTATAACATTTATATATTCATTCAAATTCCAAAGAAAGGCAACACCAAGGAATGTTCAAACAACCGCACAGTTGCACTCATCTCACGCGCTAGCAAAGGGAATGCTCAAAATTCTTCAAGCTAGGCTTCAACAGTACGTGAACCGTGAATTTCCAGATGTTCAAGCTGGATTTAGAAAAGGCAGAGGAATCAAGAGATCAAATTGCCAACATCTGTTGGATCATAGAAAAAGCAAGAGGATTCCAGAAAAACATCTACTTCTGCTTTATTGACTATGCCAAAGCCTTTGACTCTGTGGATCACAACAAACTGTGGAAAATTGTTGAAGAGATGGGAATACCAGACCACCTTACCTGCCTCCTGTATGCAGGTCCTATATGCATACCTGTATCTGTATGCAAGTCAAGAAGCAACAGTTATAGGTAGATATGGAACAACAGACTGGTTCCAAATTGGGAAAGGAGTATGTCAAGGCTATTGTGCTTATTTAACCTATATGCAGAGTACATCATGCAAAATGCCAGCCTTGATGAAGCACAAGCTGGAATCAAGATTGCCGGGAGAAGTATCAATAATCTCAGATATGCAAATGACACTACCCTTCTGGCAGAAAGCAAAGAAGAACTCAAGAGCCTCTTGATGAAAGTGAAAAAGCTGGCTTAAAACTCAACATTCAGAAAATGAAGATCATGGCATCTGGTCCCATCATGTCATGACAACTAGATAGAGAAACAATGGAAACAGTGAGAAACTTTATTTTTTTGCACTCCAAAATCATTGCAGGTGGTGACTGCAACCATGAATTTAAAAGACGCTTGCTCCTTGGAAGAAAGGCTATGACTAACCTAGACAGTGTATGAAAAGGCATAGACATTACTTTGTCAACAAAGGTCTGTCTAGTCAAAGCTATGGTTTTTCCAGTAATCATGTATGGATGTGAGAGTTGGACCATAAAGAAGGCTGAGCACCAAAGAATCGATGCTTTTGAACTGTGGTGTTGGAGAAGATTCTTGAGTCTCTTGGACTGCAAGGAGATCCAACCAGTGAATCCTAAAGGAAATCAGTCCAGAATATTCATTGGAAGGACTGATGCTGAAGCTGAATCTCCAGTACTTTGGCCACCTGATACAAAGAACTGACTCCTTGGAAAAGACCCTGATGCTGGGAAAGATTGAGGTGGGAGGACGAGTGCATGACAGAGGATGAGATGGTTGAATGGCATCACCGACTCAATGAGAACATGAGCTTGAGCAAGTTCCAGGAGTTGGTGATGGACAAGGAAGCCTGGTGTGCTGCAGTCCATGGGGTTGCAAAGAGTCAGACACAACTGAGTGAATGAACTGAACTGATAACATTTATATAGCTATTTGAAGAAAACCTTTAATATAAACGAACTAAATTCTTTCACTGATCCCTTTAAACTTGGTTTTTTTGGGGGAAGAGAGAGAGGTAGGTAGTTGTACACTGCTATTTGTAGACTAGCTTCTTTTTTTTTTTTGGTCACAGTATGCAGCATCCTAGTTTCCTGACCAGGGATCAAACCCCTGTTGCCTATGTTGGGATCTTGGAGTCTTAAACCACTGGACCACCAGGAAGTCCTGAGAATAGTCATACTTAATCTTCTATGCCTTCCTTGCCAATTCATCACAGTCCATTTGTGGTCATTTTTTATATGTCCTGGTAGAGAATGTTTGTTCCTTCAGGCTCACCAGCAAAATCAGTTGTTCAGAACTATTCCTAAGGGAGAGAAGAAAGAATTTTTTTTGTTTGGATTATTAAAGTGGTGCTACTTTTGATTTTACATTATGACTATGGCACATTATTACTAATTGAATAATCATGTCCCCTCTGGGATACCTTGGAATATGTGCCTGTAAGATAAGTCTGCACAGTTGTTGGAGGCAGCAGGTCATTTAGAGAGAACAGGCCTCACTAACGTAGTTCTATTACTTGTATTATTAAGTGGATCACATTTAAATCTAGAATGAAAAGCTTTCCTAGCTCAACTGCATTTTATACAATAACACTGCTCCTACATCATTGGTATTAAAGTTATTTGATCTATGTACATTCCAGTTGGTGCAAGAAATATTCTAGAATTGAGTTAACTTACTGGCATTACAAGTGTTCTCTGCAGCTGATTGCTTCTCATTGGGAGTAAATTAGTCTTTGTGACCCAGTGGCTTTTATTTTCATTGCTGTGGGAGTTATGACTCTTGGCTTCTGATTTTCTTCCTTTGTTTCATGAAAAAGTACATATATGTAAATACATAAAAGCCATGCATACATGCAAATGTATATACCATACTTTTAAAACCATTAATACCATAGTTTTCTTTAATAATCTGTTCACAAAGTACCTGGTCTCACTGTAGTGAGGAGAAGTAGGGGAAAGGAAAGAATTTACGACCTGGAAGTGTGCTCGTCGGCCCCACGGATCTTTCTCTTGCTTCAACAGTGCTTGGACGGAACAGACCTGGGGACGCCCCTTTCTCCAGTCTCCAACTACCCTCCAACCTTTTTTTCCAGTCGCAACCTCCGGAATCAGTCATTCAGCAGTCTGCGATCACCGGGACCAGCCACCATTTTTTAACTCCTTATTACCGACCAATCATGAGCTCCCAGATTCGTCAGAATTATTCTACTGAGGTGGAGGCCGCCATCAACCGCCTGGTTAACATGCAACTGCGGGCCTCCTATACCTACCTCTCTCTGGGCTTCTATTTCGACTGACGACGTGGCTCTGGAGGGTGTGGGTCACTTTTTTCGTGAATTGGCCAAGGAGAAGCGCGAGGGTTCAGAGTGTCTTGAAACTGCAAAACCAGCGTGGCGGCCGCGCCCTCTTCCTGGACATGCAGAAGCCATCTCGAAATGAGTGGGGTAAAACCCAGGACGCTATGGAAGCCGCCCTTCTTGTAGAGAAGAACCTGAATCAAGCCCTGTTGGATCTGCATGGCCTGGCTTCTGCCCACGGAGACCCCCACATCTGTGATTTCCTGGAGAACCACTTCCTAGATGAGGAAGTGAAACTCATCAAGAAGATGGGTGACCATCTGACCAACCTCCACAGGCTGGCTGGTCCCCAGGCTGGGTTGGCAGTTTCTCTTCCAGAGGCTCACCCCCAAGCACGACTAGGAGCTTCTGGAGACCATTGTCCTTTGAAGAACCCACCTAACATCAGGGCTGCCTGAAGCCCCTCTCTGCAGCCACTAGGCAGCTTTTTAACATGTTGGAGTCCTCTCTCAAGCCTTGGACCAAATGGAAACAATAAAGCTTTTTGCAGCATAACAACAACAACAAAAATTTACGACCTCCAACTCTTAACAGGCTTTTTTTTTTTTATGTTTCTTTGGCTGCATCAGGTTTTAGTTACAACATTCAAGATCTCGTGGCATGTGGTCTTTTCTAGTTGAGGCATGAGGGCTTTTCTCTAGTTGTGGTGCTCAGGTTCTAAGGTCCTTGGGCTCAGTAGTTGTGGTGTGGGCTTAATTGCTTTGCGGCATGTGGGATCTTAGTTCTCCAACTAGGGATCCAACCTACAAACCATGCATTGGTACGTGGATTTTTAACCACTGGACCACTGGGGAAGTCCCTGTCTAACAGTCTTTTAATGCACATTGACAGAATATGGTTCAAAATTTTGCTTGTTATATATATATTTGTGAAACTTCTCATAAGAAATTGAGATAGCCAGTTATAAATGAATAATAGTAAATGCCTCTTTAGATTTCACTTTAAAAAACTCAAAGAATAATGAAAATAGGCTTAGGCATAATGAGGATTGGTCTCATTTTAATACTTGGCAAAAATGTGTGGAGATAAAAACACCACTATTTTATAAAATATAACTAATGCCTTAACCTGTAGTATGTATAGTTCTTTTGTTATTTGAGGGTTTAGCATATAAAGGGAACACTTTTAAATATACTGTTTAGGTAGCATATATATGGATTTTCTTTCTTCACTTTTTGCATTTCATCATTTTTTCCTTTCATTTAGGGTAAAGCTGACATTAGAGGGTCTGGAGGAAGATGATGATGATAGAGTATCTCCCACTGTTCTTCACAAAATGTCAAATAGCCTGGAGATATCCTTAATAAGTGACAATGAATTCAAGTGTAGACATTCACAGCCGGAGTGTGGGTATGGCTTACAGCCTGACCGTTGGACAGAGTATAGTATACAGACAATGGAACCAGATAACCTAGAACTAATATTTGATTTTTTTGAGGTGAGTATATTTCACTGAAGAGGGTGAGAGACAATGTAGACATGAGTTTATTTTTACATATGTTTTGATTTTTATTGTAGCCTAATTTATGTAAACGTATGATTCATACAACTTTTTAGATGTTTACTCCTCTGTGCGTGTTAGCCGATTTTTAAAAACTTAGAGTTGGCAGACTCATATTATTAAGAATATAATTGAGAACTTCAGAATTGCATTCAAATTATGACCAAATGTCTTGATGTCTGTGTGTATTTTAAACATAAATGAATGTATCCAAAGGCACTTTGAAGAATAGAGGCTGTTACTTAATAGGCAGGCTGATGTAACAAGCATGATTGAGCCTTCTTCATGACTGAAGTTTTGTTTATTGAAGCATTTTATAAGAATCCATTGTAATAGTGAACTCATTTTTCCAACTTTACTTGATATTATAAATATGTAAGACAAGATAGTTGCTGTGAAAATTGTGCCAAGTTATTCAGACTCTGTGCTGACAACTTTCTAGAGCTGCTTGTGATGCTTATCTTGGTTTTTGAGCTGTTCAGCTGCTCCTCACAAATAAAACTGGGTCCTCCCCTAAGGTCCTGGCTCTTTGATATTTCCACTCACATTTACACTAGATTAGAGTTTGACTCTTTGAGGGTGGGGAATAAACTTTCCCCAACAGTAGCACCTAGCCACTGTTTCTGAAAATAGCAAAATTCAGGATGGATTAGAACCTGAGTAATTCTTATAGCTTTATAATATAAAGTTATATTGCCTAATTAATAAGATCTGTGAGACATTTACTATAAAAATATGAAGTTTTGGTTGAACATTTCCTTGTTCTTTTGGTACCTACCTATTAATCTCTTGAACAGCCTGACTTCTCTTTCATTTGGTTAACAGTTTTGGAAATACTAATTTATTCATAGACTAGGTGGATAAAACACACTATATAATATCAAGTATTCAGCGTTCTAGAGGTTACTATCCCTCTGTGTCATCTGTGTAGATGCATTTGTAAAGAACAAAATATACATTAAAAGTGAAAGTCGCTCAGTCGTGTTTAACTCTTTGTGACCCCATGATATAGTCCGTGGAATTCTCCAGGCTAGAATACTGGAGTGGGTAGCCTTTCCCTTCTCCAGGGGATCTTCCCAGCCCAGGAATCAAACCTTGGTCTCCCTCATTGCAGGCAGATTCTTCACCAGCTGAGCCACAAGGAAAATAATTACAGGTATATCTTGGGCTTCCCTAGTGCTCAGTGCTAACGAATCTGCCTGCCAAGCAGGAGATACAGGTTTAACCCCTGGGTCAGAAAGATCCCTTGGAGAAAGAAATGGCAACCCACTCCAGTATTCTTGCCAGGGAAATCCAATGGTCAGAGGAGCCTGGCGGGCTTTAGTCCATGAGTTTGCAAGAGTTGATCACAACTTAGCAACTAAACAACAACAACAGGTATATCTTAGTCTTAGTAATTCAGTTGATACTTTATGTTTGCATAATATATGTTAGAGGATCAGAAATGCAAATCAAAAGTTATGATTAATGAACATAAAATCTTAAATATACTGTGTATTAAATAGCTTTGCATACTAAAAGAATATATGTTACTTGTTACAACAAATCTATCTAAATTACCTGAATATAAATTTGGTTGTATTTCTTATTGATTTTCTTCCATAGATTCCAAGTTGGTTTTAAGGGTGTCTTTTTTGATCTTTTAATGGAGAATATTGAATTATAAGAATCTGGGTTATTCTTATCCTTATTTTTCAGGAAGATCTCAGTGAACATGTAGTTCAGGGTGATGCTTTTCCTGGACATGTAGGTACAGCATGTCTCTTATCGTCCACCATTGCAGAGAGTGGGAAGAGTGCTGGAATCCTTACTCTTCCCATCATGAGCAGAAATTCCAGGAAAACAATAGGCAAAGTAAGAGGTAAGCTTAGACAAGCATGGTGACCCTTTACAAATAAGCAGAGGTTAAGTTAGGATTCTAATTAGTTTCAAATTGTGCTTTTGAGAATGGTAAAGAATTAAATTAATAAGTTGTTGCAAAATATTAACATACATTCCCTGGTTGCTCACTGGTAAAGAATCTGTCTGCCAAGCAGGAAACATGGGTTCGATCCCTGGGTTGAGAAGATCCCCTGGAGAAGGAAATGTCAACCCACTCTAGTATTATTGCCTGGGAAATCCCATGGACAGAGGATCCTGGGGGTTGACAGTCCATGGGGTCGCGAAAGAGTTGGATATGACTTAGTGACTGAACAGCAGCAATTTGCTGGAAGCTTTACTTTGAATGGACATTGGCTTGATTTCTCTCTGTTTGATCAGTTGATAAAGCTGGTTTGAGTGATATTTAAGTGTAATTGAGTTCATCATAGACTTTTAATTGTCTTTTCTTTTCCCCTTCCCCCTTTTTTCCTTTGAAAGTTGACTATATAATTATTAAGCCGTTACCAGGATACAGTTGTGACATGAAATCTTCATTTTCCAAGTATTGGAAACCAAGAATACCATTGGATGTTGGACATCGAGGTGCAGGGAATTCTACAACAACTGCTCAGTAGGTTGAATATTTGAGTAGTACTACCATTTGGCAGGGGAAGGCAATGGCACCCCACTCCAGTACTCTTGCCTGGTGAATCCCATGGACGGAGGAGCCTGGTAGGCTACAGTTCATGGGGTCTCGGAGGGTCGGACATGACTGAGCGACTTCACTTTCACTTTTCACTTTCATGCATTGGAGAAGGAAATGGCATCCCACTCCAGTGTTCTTGCCTGGAGACTCCCAGGGACGGGGGAGCCTGGTAGGCTGTTGTCTATGGGGTCGCACAGAGTTGGGCACGACTGAAGCGACTTAGCAGCAGCAGCAGCATTTGGTAGCTTATGCTTGATGATAAGGTTTAACCAACTAAAGGTCAAAGGATCCTTTTAATTATTAGCCTGGATTTAAATGTAATTTGGTAATTGGGCTTTAAATTGGCTTGTAAATACCTATGATTATTAGAGCTTGATTTAAGGAATGCACACACCAACCAGGTAATGGTCAGTCTTATTTTGGGGATGGTAAAGTTAGCCTCAAAATAGAGAATAAGTACTGAGACCATTATTGAAAATATAGTTTACTAAATGTTACTAAATTTGTCTTTTCTTTATTAATGATAACTATATTTCTATATATTTTCTTTCAGGCTTGCTAAAGTTCAAGAAAATACTATTGCTTCCTTAAGAAATGCTGCTAGTCATGTAAGTGAACCTCTCTTTAAACAACTTTGGACTGGTGGTCCACAGGTAGAAAAGTAGAGAGTTGTAGGTCGGGGCAGCCTCCTCCATTTACATTAATAGGGTAAAAGGGAGAATATTTCTGCTTTTTCTAAATATATTTCTAAGTGAAGATAAAATATTTCTAGGCATTTTAATTTCATTTCATGGTACAGATTGGAATTAAAGCAATGGAATCCTAATCATCCTCTTAAATGTTAATTAGGTGATTTGTAGTATGGTTGATATATAAATTACAGATACACAGTATAATGATTCACAATTTTTAAAGATTATGCTCCATTTATAGTTATTGTAAAATGTTTGCTATATTCCCTGTGTTGTATCCTTGAAGCTTATTTTAAACCTAATAGTCTGTACCACTTAATCCCCTATGCCTTTATTGCCCCTCTTGCCTTCCCTCTCCACTGGTAACCACTGTTCCGTGCAAGTGATGTCATATAGTATAGTTTTTCTCTGTCTGACTTAGTTCACTTAACATAATACCCTCCAAGTCCATCCATGTTGTTATAGATAGCAAAATTTCACTCTCTTTTATGGCTGAGCAGTACACACAGCTGAGCTCTGTGTGTGTGTGTGTGTGTGTACATACATACACCATATCTTTATCCATTCACTTCAGTTTCTTTATATCTTGGCAGTTGTAAATAATGCTACTATGAACATTGAAGAGATCTATGTTTTCAAATTAGTATTTTTCAGCTATGTATCTAGGAGTGGAATTGGTGGGTCATATAGTAGTTCTCTTTTTAGCTTTTTGAAAAACCTTCATAACTTTTTCACAGTGTCAATACCAGTTTACTTTCCCACTAGCAGTGTAGGAGGGCTCCTTTCACATGCTTGCCAGCATTTATTTCTGTTCTTTTTGATGATAGCCATTCTTTTGATGATAGTGAGGTGATAACTCATTGTGGTTTTTTTGTTTTATATTTCTTTTCGGCTGTGCTTGGGTCTTTGTTGCTCTGCAAGGGCTTCTCTAGTTGTGGCAAATGGTGGCTACTCTTACTGCAGAGCAGGAGCTCTGCATTCGAGTTTCAGTAGTTGTGGCAAGAAGGCTTAGTAGTTGTGGTGCACAGGCTTATTTGTCTCGCAGATCAGAGTTTGATCCCGTGTCCCCTGCATTGGTAGGTGGATTCTTAACCATTGGACCACCAGGAAGTCCAGTTCTTTGGTGGTTTTGATTTGCATTTCCCTCATGCTGAGTGTTATAACATTTCCTGTATCTGTTGGTCATCTGCATTTCTGCTTTGGAAAAATGTTTATTCAGTTCTTCTAACATTTTAAATAATTGGATAGTTTGGGGTTTTTTTTTTTTTTATGCTGAGTTGTAAATTTTTATATGTTAGATATTAACTCCTTATTAGTCATATCTCTTGGAAATATTTCCTCCTATTCAGTAGCTTGTCTTTTTGTTTCATTGATGGTTTGCTTTGCTGTCAGAAGGTTTTTGAGTTTAATTTGGTCCCATTTGTTTAATTTTTAAGTATCCTCCCCCTTTTTTTTGAGATAATGTTTTAAGTGTTTGACACATGCAAAAATGTTCCCCATGAAACATTGCATTTCATCAATTGAATTACTATGTTCATTTAGATACTCTGTAAATGATGCTTACAGAAGGATTTGATAGTGATTTTATGTAACACTTGGGCTTCCCTGGTGGCTCAGATGGTAAAGAATCTGCCTGGAATGCAGGAGACCCAGGTTTAATCCCTGAGTTGGGAAGATCCCCTGGAGAAGGGAATGGCTACCCACTGCCAGTATTCTTGCCTGGAGAATTCTGTGGAGAGAGGAGCCTGATGGGGGTCACAAAGAAAGACACTTAGTATGTCCGTTTGCCTCCTGTATACCAACCTGATTATGTTGAACTTCTTAACTTTTTATAGTACTGTGTGTGTATGTATAAAACTCCTTATATATATTATGTATATATATAATACCTATATATATATACAACTCCATGTATATATGGATATATATATACATACTGTATACCATCCTGATTCTAACCTGATTATGTTGAATTTCTTAACTTTTTTTATATCGTTATACAGTTAGTGGTTTGTTTTTTTTTTTAGCTTTTAGTTTTTTCAGTACCTGAAGTTTGACATTTTAAATCAAGAGCCTGTGTGTTTCCTCCTCCCTCACCTTCTACTGTACCTCAAGTTAAGCTTCATGTTCTGAAAAAAACTGAGAAACTCTAATTATATTTCAGTTTTTTCCCATTGTCCTCCACATACATGCCTTAAGCTTTGCCTTTTTAAAAATAGTTCAGCAAATAAACTTGATTTGTTAGATTTTAATTTTGTCACTTATATGAAGCAAACAACTATTCTAAGACGTACTTTTCCCATATTTTAAGGTCTCTAAAATTGGGATAGGATTTACAACTGTCTTAACTTGTCATGGTTTGATTGGCATTGTTTTTTCTCCCTCTTAGTGGTGTATAAAATAATGATGCATTTTGTATTGACATCTTCAGTTCAGTTCAGTCACTCAGTTGTGTCCGACTATGCGACCCAATGAATCGCAGCATGCCAGGCCTCCCTGTCCATCACCAACTCCTGGAGTTTGTTTACTCAAACTCATGTCCATAGAGTCGGTGATGCTATCCAGCCATCTCATCTTTTGTCGTCCCTGTCTCCTCCTGCCCCCAGTCCATCCCAGCATCAGGGTCTTTTCCAATGAGTCAGTTCTTTGCATGAGGTGGCCAAAGTTTTGGAGTTTCAGCTTCAGCATCAGTCCTTCCAATGAACACCCAGGACTGATCTCCTTTAGGATGGACTGGTTGGATCTCCTTGCAGTCCAAGGGACTCTCAAGAGTCTTCTCCAACACCACAGTTCAAAAGCATCAATTTTTTGGCACTCAGCTTTCTTGACAGTCCAACTCTCACATCCATACATGACCACTGGAAAAACCATAGCCTTGACGAGACGGACCTTTGTCGGCAAAGTAATGTCTCTGCTTTTCAGTATGCTATCTAGGTTGGTCATAACTTTCCTTCCAAGGAGTAAGCGTCTTTTAATTTCATGGCTGCAGTCACCATCTGCAGTGATTTTGGAGCCCCCCAAAATAAAGTCTGACATTGTTTCCACTGTCTCCCCATCTATTTCCCATGCAGTGATGGGACCAGATGCTATGATCTTAGTTTTCTGAATGTTGAGCTTTAAGCCAACTTTTTCACTCTCCTCTTTCACTTTCATCAAGAGGCTTTTTAGTTCCTCTTCACTTTTCTACCATAAGGGTGGTGTCATCTGCATATCTGAGGTTATTGATATTTCTCCCGACAGTCTTGATTCCAGCTTGTGCTTCTTCCAGCCCAGCATTTCTCATGATGTACTCTGCATTTGAGTTAAATAAGCAGGGTGACAATATATAGCCTTGACATACTCCTTTTCCTATTTGGAACCAGTCTGTTGTTCCATGTCTAGTTCTAACTGTTGCTTCCTGACCTGCATACAGGTTTCGCAAGAGGCAGGTCAGGTGGTCTGGTATTCCCATCTCTTTCAGAATTTTCCACAGTTTATTGTAATCCACAGAGTCAAAGGTTTTGGTATAGTCAATAAAGCAGAAATAGATGTTTTTTTGGGAACTCTCTTGCTTTTTCCATGATCCAGTGGATGTTGGCAATTTGATCTCTGGTTCCTCTGCCTTTTCTAAAAGCAGCTTGAACATCTGGAAGTTCACAGTTCACTTGACGTTTTAATTTATCATAATTATTTATTTTAATGTTTAAAAATGTTTAGTTGATAATTTTGTGTTGAAAGGATGTTAAGTATACAAGTATGCTGTGCTGTAGGTCATTATTTGTAACCAGTTTCAGTTCCTTATAGTTAAGTAATCTAAACATGGTTTTATTAACTGTGAACACATGAAGATCCCTAATAGATAGAGCTTTCAGGGTGTCTGCTTTTTGAGGGAAGATTCTGCTGAGCCCCTTTCTGTTGAAACTCTTTTTACTCTTAGGGATCACATTATAGAATGTCTTACGTTAGTTATGAAAGGCTGGTTTGGTTTCATGTTAAAGACATCCTTGAAAAGGTTTCAGTTATTATTGGCTTATTTCTTAAAACATCCTCACACATGAATTTTTTCTTTTTTTTTTTTTTTTCCCTTTTTAATTTTTGGCCACGCTACACTGCATGTGGTATCTTAGTTTCTTGGCTAGGGCTTGAACCCGGGCCCCCTGCAGTGAAATGGGGAGTCTTAATAACTGGACCACCAGGAAAGTGGTGATCAGATTTTATCCCTTAGTAAATTTATCTTCCTAAAGGACGGTGATCATGTAAAATTAAACTTTAAAACTGGAAAGCTATACTTTATGTATAATTGTTTTAACTCTTTAAGGGGGTATAGGTTTTTTTTTTCTCTTTGGTAAAAATGATTTGTGTAATTGTTGACAATGGAAGGAGCTAGGCTTATTTCCTGCTTCAGAAGTTACAGAGGAAGCAGGCTCCTTTGGTTCTAGCCTATGATCCATATGTACTGATAAGTTAAGCATCTTTCTTGACTAAAGCTAGGGTAAGGGATGGAAACATGTCCATCAGTTCTTACATAGCACTTCTCTGGGCCATGGATACCCTTAGACCTTGTATCCTTTGATCCCAGCTGGTTTTCTTTTAGTGATCACACAAATTTGTATGTCAGTTTATGATTTTAGCCTTTATTTGGATTAATTCACAAGTCATGATGGATCTGACTTAAGTCTAATTGGTGTACATATTTCTTCTGTTTAGGCTTCTATTAGGAAATTTGGTGTATATATCATTCTTGTTATCCATTTCTGTTTTCTCTTTTCAGCAGAAGTTGTAGTTTCCTCTTTAATCGGATTATTCAGGTTTTATTAAGAAAGGCTGTAAAGTGTGTTGTTCAAATGCACCAAGTAGCAGAGCTAAGAGCTTGCAGCTTTTCTTGTTCCCACCTCACCTTTGAGGTTTGACTGTCGAACTGAGGTGTGCAGGGGGCAGCAAGATGGGGGAGGTAGCCATGCCCCAGACTCCTCATCGGCTCCATTTCTGCTAATAGCAGTAGCAGAGGCGACACTGGTGGAGGCTGTCCACTGCCACAGAAAGGCCCTGGAGTGTGTTTGAGTGGGGTCAGTACCAAATTTTTTGCCAGGAAAAATTGTTGTGCTATTACAAAAAAGAACTTAAAATTGTTTTAAAAGATTACCTTTTAGAAAAAACTTGAAGTATAGCATTAAGTAATTCATGAGGAAGTTTTTGTGTGTATAGGTCTATACTTTTACAGTGAACAATAAATTTGTTATGTTCTTAGAGTTTTAGATGTATTGTGGGCTAGATAATATTTTTTAATTTTTTTTTCCTCTCAGGGTGCAGCCTTTGTAGAATTTGATGTACATCTTTCAAAAGATTTTGTGCCTGTGGTGTATCATGATCTGACTTGTTGTTTGACTATGAAAAAGGTATGTAGAAATTCCTTTAACTCTTATAGTTAGACAAAAGTTTAAAAACTAGCAAGTTTTATATACACATGCCATTATACATAAGAGACTTGAGCGTCTGTAGACTTGGTATCCATGAGGGGTCCTGGAACCAATCCCCAGCAGATACTAATGTGTGTGTGCTCAGTTGCTTTAGTCATGTCTGACTCTTTACAACCGCTTGGACTGTAGCCTGCCAGGCTTCTCTGTCCATGTGATTCTCCAGGCAAGAATACTGGACTGGATGGCCATGCCCTCCTCCGGGGGATCTTCCTGACCCAGGGATGGAACCCACGTCTCCTGGCATTTTCTTTAAAACTGTGATGGGTATCGTTTTCAATTGAGTTGATCTGAAATTAAGACTGAGAAAACTGGAGAACTACATGGAAAAGAATGAAGTTAGAGCATTCTCTAACACCATATAGAAGAATAAACTCAGGGCCTCCCTGTGACTCAGTGGTGAAGAATCCATCTGCCAGTGTTGGAGACACAGGCTTGATCCCTGATCCAGGAAGATCCCACTTGCTGTGGAGCAGCTAAGCCCATGTGCTACCATCTATTGAGTCTATGCTCTAGAGCCTGGAAGCCACAAATACTGAACTGAAGTCTTTGTGCCCTTGATTCATGCTTTGCATCAAGAGAAGCTGTCTCTTACTGAACTAGAGAAAAGCCCATGCAGCAGAGAAGACCCAACACAGCCAAAAATAAATAAAATTATTTTAAAAAAACAAAAACCCTCCAAGTGGATTAAAAACCTAAATGTAAGACTGGACAGTAAGTATAAAGCTTAGAGGAAACAGAACACTCTTTGATATAAATTGCAGCAATATTTTTTTGGATCTGTCTCCTAGAGTAATGCAAATAAAAAACAAAGGGGATCTAATTAAACTCTGAAGCTTTTTCACAACAAAGAAAACCACAGACAGCACAAAGACAACCTACTGACTCGGAGAAAATATTTGCAAATGATGCTACTGACAGTGGATTAATTTTCAAACTATACAAACAGCTCTTATAATTCAGTATTTTAAAAAAATCAAAAAATGGGCTGAAGACCTGAATATACTTGTCTCCAAAGAAGACATACAGGTGGCTAACAGGCACGTGAAAAGATACTCAATATTACTGTTAGAGAAATGCAGATCCAAGCTTTAGTGAGGTACCACCTCTTACTGCTCAGAATGGCCGTTATCAGAAAGTTGAGAAATAATAAATGCTGGAGAGACGGTATGGAGAAAAAGGAACCCTCCTGCACTGTTGGTGGGAATAAATTGGTGCAGCCACAATGGAGAACAGCATGGAGATTCCTCAAAAACAAAGTGAGTCTATATGATCCTGCAATACCACTCTTGGGATTTCCAGAGGAAATTATAATTTGAAAAAATACACACACCTTAATATTCATTGCAGCACTATTTAGAGTATCTCACACATGGCAGCATCCTGAATGTCCATCAACAGATGAATGTGTTAAGATATATACATGTACAATGGAATACTACTCAGTCATAAAAAAGAATAAAATAATGGCACTTAGAGATTATCATATTAAGTGAAGTAAGTCAGAAAATGAAAGACACTTATGTGGAATCTAAAATATAATACAAATGAACTTACAAAATAGAGACTTGGAAAACAAAATTATGGTTACCAAAGGGGGAAAGGGATTGTTTCATATAAATTTGGAGTTTGAGATTAGCAGATACAAACTGCAATATATAAAATAGATAAACAACATGGTCCTACTCTATATCACAGGGAACATTATCTTAATTCAATATCTTATAATAACCTATAATGGAAAAGACTAGATATTTATATATATATATATGTTTGTGTGTGTGTGTGTATATATGTGTGTGTGTGTGTGTGTGTGTAACTGAATCATTCTGCTCTACACCTGAAACTGATAACAGCATTGTAAATTAACTATACTTTACGATAAATAAAGTTTGCTTTGCTACCATGTACCAGACGCTGCATAATGTAGTATAAATCTGTGACAAGTCACTTGACTCTGCCTGCTGGTGGATTCTGTTATAATCAGTCATATGGGTTTGGATTATTTTCATTTATAGAAAAGGATTCTTTCCTTTTTGTGAAATGGTATTAGGAGAAGGAAGGAGATGCACCTGTTTATTTAAATTATTCGGGGAGGGCACCATACTGTGTGGCTCAGGGACTCTTGCTTCCCTGACTAAGGGTTGAACCCAGTCCCTCAGCAGTGAGAGTGCTGAGTACTAACCACTGGATCGCCAGGGACTTCCCAAGATGCACCTATTTAGGTGAAAGAAGTAGAATTACTTAGATTTAGGGTAGGTTGTTTTTGCTGTGGGGGAAATGTTAATGGAAAGTGAAACAAAAAACGGATGGAATGGTGAAGGAACTCACTAAACAAGATTGGGATTAGTGACTAGCTGTTATTTCTTAAAATCCATGAGGGTTAGTTGAAGAGTATAAACTGATCCCTCATTTTTACCAGACTTTGATTGTTATTATATTGAACCTGATTGAGTTAATTGCAGAATGAAAACAGTGAATTGTTTTTTTTTTAGTATTCATTTTTAAGTTGGTATTTTCCTTATAAAACAATTTATGTTCATTTATAAAATTACCAGTAGTTCAGAAGATTATGAAATGGGTCTTCACTGGTGGTCCAGTGGTTAAGAATTTCTCCCTGCAAGTGCAGGGGATTAGTGTTCAATGCCTGGTCCAGGAATATTCCACATACTATGGGGCAACTAAACCCACTTGCCATAGCTACTGAGCCCACTGGCCACAACTATGAAGCCTGTGCTCTCCCATAAGAAGCCACAGCAGTGAGAAGCCTGAGCACCATAAGAAAGCCTGCACTCGCCACAACTAGAGAAAGCCTGGGCATAGCAATGAGGACCCAGTGCAGCCAAAAATAATAAATAAAAATTTTTAAAAGTAAAAAGATTATGAAATGAAAAGTAAATCTTCCTTTTTCTCCTTGGTAGTACTCTCTTCTCTACTTAGTAGTTTCTTTTGTATCCTTCCAGAAAAATGTACATAGACTCATACTATATGTACTTGGTGTGAAAATAAATAGACATACACTGGATTTTAATTTATTTGTTGGATTGATGATTTACTGGTGGTACATTAACTCATTTCCTTAACATAGAAGTGCCTGAATAGTGTGACTTTTGATTTATTAAAAGCTAATGAAACAGATTTGCTTATTGTGAAAACACCTATTATACAGTTCTTATTAAATATTACTCCTTAGAGGTCATCAATTTTTTTCATGACACTTGATTTCTGTGGCTGTTTTTAACCAAACTTAAGTTTAAAAGGTTTTGAAATGTTTAGAAACTTGACAGAAACTAATCCATGCTTGGATCATGCTTGCCTGTTGATTTCCTAGTCATGTAGCATGGATATATGTCAAATAAATGTATATAGCCTGGCAGGAAACTGGAGAAATTACTGATGTATGGCTTGGTTCTCAGTGTGTCTTCAGTGCTACAGCTTCTTCCCAGCTGTTTTTTTCTTCACTAAAAAAAAAAAAAAAAATGTTTTATCTACATTAAAAACAAATAAGCCAGAATTTTAGGAGCTGGAAGGTGGTGTTAGGTAGAAAGAGCTCCCCTTCATGGGCTCACTGTGGCCACCAAACAGTTATTCTTATCAGTAAATTGAGACACAGGGACTGTCTAGAGTAAATATTCAGTAATAATTGATGGCCCATTTTTCTTCTTTTTAGAAATTTGATGCTGATCCAGTTGAATTATTTGAAATTCCAGTGAAAGAATTAACGTTTGACCAACTCCAGTTGTTAAAGGTAATAATAGTGTGAAATGTTAAATCTTTCTGGTTTTACATTTATCACTTAGTTTTAGTACTATTTGTACTTGTCTGTATATGCTAATGTTCTCTTTGCCCGTGGGGATGACTATATATACAGCATGTGTAGAGTTTATGCTTTGGTTTTCTGTTCTATTAGGAAGAATGGGTTTGTGCTCATCCATCTGTCGTCTTTAACAGTTTTCCGTGGATCCCATCGGGTTTTGCTTTCATGAAGGAGACTGGGCTATAAGTCTTTATAGGCCATGGGGACTAGCTATAATCTTAGGTTGTCTCTGGTCTGTTTTAACTCTTTTTATTTCATACTTGATCTTCTATGCTGTTGTTGATTTTTATACTTATGTTACTAAGATCCTTCTCTATTTTATTGATACCATATAATTTTACATGGTGATCCTTCCTGTTCTCATTAGATATCTTAAATAAATAAATGCTTGTTTGAGTGTAAATGGTTTCCTAATCTATTGATTTATATATTCTCCTCTCGGTTATTTGATCATGATCTTTTGTGTATGTGTGTAAATATAAAATATATACACTGATAAGTGCTTATTCTTATTAAAATAATAATTCTACATTTTATAAGTTTTTTCTAACTTGCTAGCTTTTCAAACTAGTTAGTTCTGTTAGCCATATCTTCATAAACTAAGGCCTATTTTTAATGATTGCATTTTGTATGTGTGTGTGTGTTTTCCAGCTCACTCACGTGACTGCACTGAAATCTAAAGATCTGAAAGGTATGTACCAATATGAAAACATTGTTTTCATTTCACAATTAGCATAATGAATTTTGTTATCCATTTTAATGTACTCTTTGTGACCTTAATATAATACTCAGTTATATAAATGTAATGTTATAGATACGAAGGCTTTACATATAATACTTGTCATATGCATATTTGTTGTGTACAGAAAGCATGATTTTTTATTTTATGAGTTTTCTTAGCTTGATGATCAAAAATCTTTATTATTTTGTACCTACCAATCTTTCCACACATTCTTAAGCATTACAGAGTATAAGAGTGGAGCAAATATAGAATCTAGCCCTATATAGGTGTTTCAAACTAGCTCTATTTACCAGCTATGACCTCCATCTTTGTGTTTAACCATTCTGTGCTTCACTTTCCTCAAAGGATTATAAAATCCCTTTGTAATTCCACTTTGCTTTCTGCCCCCATAGAACTTAATAGTGAATGGCATTCATCTCAGTCTCAATATGTCCTTTTTTAACCCTTTATTTTTGCACATGTCTTATCTTTTCCACCAGAATGTAAACTTCTCAAGGATGTGAAAATATTTTTATATTCCCTGAAAAATTTATAAGTGGTTATAGTAGGTATTCATTAAATGTTTATCTGCAATTGGGATAACAGGATAGTTGTAATGCCTTTATAAAGACATTTTGAGGTACCACAAACTCCAGAGATACCCCCGGAGCATAAATATGACTTTGCAAGTTTGTAAATGTTTCATAACTATTAATAGTGAAATGAATTTACTTTTAACTTATTTTACTGGAAAATTTTATATGACTTAGTTTTTGAATTTGTATTGCACAGGATTAGTTACTTGTTGGTTTTGTTTTGCTTTTTGTTAGTTGGGAGGTTTAAATCTTGATATAAAAATTTTTTCTCTAGGAAAAAATTCTTCGTACCTTGACATAATTGATTTTGAATTAAATGATAATGCTAACAAAGACAATGGTACTTGTAGAATCTCTTAATTTTTAAGTTGATATTTCAAGTAGAAGTATTAGCAAGATTACATAGCCCTTAATCTCATTGAGATATAAAAAATAATTGCTTATAACTTCTTTTTTTAACTATAATTTTTATAAGAAAATAATCACTGTTGAGGTCATAAACTTAGATGTTCTTATTAAATGTTGTAAAGTGGTCTTCATAAAGGATGCTTATTTTGAAAATGGGGGTTTTATTGGTTAAAATTACTAAATACAAGAGCCTTCAAAAATACTATATGTGAAAGGATCTCATGGCTACTTCCTAAAGAATTTAGGGGAAGGTCTTAGTGATAAAGTGTCATTAATCTACTGAGTTTTTATAATTTAAAATTTCAGAATCTATGGTTGAAGAAGAAAATTCCTTTTCTGAAAATCAGCCATTTCCTTCTCTTAAGATGGTAAGTTCTTTAGATAAACTTAGGGTAATGCTATCATTAATTCTTTTATATCTGAATAATTTATTTTGTTCTTTTAAATTGCCACTAAAAATGCTGTGTAATGTAAACTAATGTTTGATGCTTTTTAGAGAAGATACAGTCTTGTGTATTTCTGTACCTTTTTTTTAAATGAGAAACTGATTTGCTCAGATGAATAAATTTCCTACCTCATTGGATTAGTTTGGTAAGAACAGGAAATTCACATATTTCTGTATATAAACAGAGAGAAAAGGACATAGAAAAGGGGGTGCAAGGGGAAGTGTGATGATGGGAGAGGCATTTTTACAAAATTTAAGGCTGGTCTTTGGCTTTTAGAGAGAAATTCTCCAACCAAAGAATATAGGTACCCTGGTTACTTAAAATGAGATACAAATGTCAAGAATTCACTCTGAAAAAGTGTAACAAAAACTGGCATGAAGATTTAAAACTAGACACAATTCATAGAGGAATTCCCTTGACAGGCAGGTCAAATACCCTCTTTGATCATGCTGAATCTCCTTTTGTTCTTGTTGGCTCCATTTCCTATTTTTTCCTCTTCTCTGCTGTCTTTCTGGTTATGTGTCAGCTACAGTATTTTTCTTAGGCAAAAAATAGGTAATACCAGTTTATCATGATTATTTACCCTCTAAAAAGGATGCTACAAGAGAACTCCTATAATAGTCATTGTCCTAATGCCTTTAGGTCATGGTTTGAATAATTTTTTCAGATATTTATGAAGCCTAGCTAGAATCATTTGGTTCTTAGGAATTTCATTTCTGGAAATGATTTCATAGAAAAACAGATTTTTAAAAAATTGTGTATTAAAGGGTTGTCATTATTTTTCTGATTGTGTCCAGTACAAATATGGCAGATATATTAAGTAAGGCTAAACATATGAGAGAACAAAGTAAAAAACCCCACAGGAGATTGAGTACAGCTTGTTTTAGGTATTATATTTTTCATGCAGCAGGTTAATGGAGACCAGGGCTATATCCAAGGTCACCAGAATTCCAGGCTATATTCTTTTTCTGTTAGCATTCTTCTACTTGCTATTATAAAATTAAATACCATATATACTATCCATATTAAGTGGTTTCTAAACTTTGAAATAAATTGCTCTAAATTCATTTTCTGCTTTAGCGTGCTTGAGTATTTGACAAAGCAAATTGGTATTTGAATAAACAGACAAGCTGCTTGTAGGTTATAAACAAGCTTCATATTTTATTGTTTTTTCTTTTTTAAATTTGGCTGTGCTGGGTCTTCATTGCAGCCCATGTACATTTCATTGAGGTGTGCAGGCTTCTCTAATAACTGTAGAGACTGCAGGCTCAGTAGTTCTCTAGTTGCTCCATGGCATGTGGGAAGTTAGTTTCCTGACCAGCGATTGAACCCACATCCCCTGCATTGGAAGGCGGATTCTTAACCACTGGACCACCAGAGAAGTCTCAAGCTTCATATTTTAGATTATATTTTCTAGTTATGCTGGCCAAGTGGTATTACTGCATAGTGTCTAGATAATTGAGGTAAATTGATACTCTGTTATTTATATAAAGACTTGTTTATTTATGAGCCTCATTAACTTTGGAGATAACATCTCTCCAGGGAGTTATCACTGTGGTACAAGTTAAGTATCACCACCTTCAAAACAAGCTAGAAATTGTTTTTTTTGTATAACTATATCTTAGTAGATTGACATGCCTGGATGCAATTCAGAAAATATGACAGATGTCTTTTTTTAAATTCATGAGGCTGCTTGTCTGTTATTACTGCTCACTTTAGTTGTTTAGTAACGGTGAAAAGGATTTTAGGTTAGGATCATCTCTATGGTTAGTAGTAATCAATTATCACATGCTAAAGACTGCTGTCTTTGCTATTTAATTTGTTTTGACTTTCTTATTAGTTTAATCGTTATTTTCCATTTGAGTATAAGAAAGATAGTGGTTTTTACCAACGGCACAAAGCACTTTATCCTTACTAGTGATATGTTTTCTTACAGATTGCTTTTTGTAATAAATTTTTCTTTTTTTCCTTCTTATTCTACCATTCATCTCACCAAAAATGAAACAATTTACCACCAACAAACGCAAATCTAGGTTTTAGAATCTTTGCCAGAAGATGTAGGCTTTAACATAGAAATTAAATGGATCTGCCAACAAAGGGTAAGCCCTTCCTCATGTGACCCATTCTTCTTTCCTCCCTCTCGCTTCTTTAAATGCATTGATTCTTGTCTCTTTGTTTTAGTGGAATAAGTGAAACTGAAATCTTAAGGCTTCTACCAGAAGGCACAATGCTTGTTAGACCTTTTAAATAAAGCATAATTTACACTTACTTATTTGAGTTCTTAAAAGTAGTTATGGAGTGGGTAGCCTTTCCCATCTCCAGGGGATCTTCCTAACCCCGGGGCTGAACCTAGGTCTCCCGGATTGTAGGCGGATTCTTTACCAGCTGAGCTATCAGGGAAGCCCCAGAATACTGGAGTGGGTAGCCTATCCCTTCTCCAGTGGATCTTCCTGACCCAGGAATTGAACCGGAATCTTCTGCCTTGGAGGCAGATTCTTTCCAACTGAGCTATCAGTTATGACGAAGCCCAGTTACGATTACATTATAGTAGAAATTCCAATTTACATGCATCATGCGCACAGTAATATGGACAATTTCTAGGACTTGTAAAAGGAACAGTGAGAAATCTAACAAGTCAGAACTTTGTAACTGATTAGTTTTTGTTTTTTTACCCCTATCTCAATATATACCTTAAATAATTGCCTAAGTAGTTTTCTGTTAAGTGGCAGTAGCTAGTAGTAATTAATTAGGAAAAGAAATTTCTACACATGCATCTAAAATTTAGTCATTCTTTTGTTCAATAAAGAATTATTTATTGAAAAGCTGCTATGGGCCAGACATTTTCTGTCCTTAAATGGTGAAAAAAAGCCTTGACTTTGTGGAGCCTGGTAGTGTTCTACTCCAGGAAGAAAGTCTTGGATATATCAGATGGGGCTGCATGCTAAGAGCACTGGTTGGGGTGGGGGACATTGGAAGTAGTTAATCCAGGCAATCCTGGTATTTGTTTTGGTCAGATTAATCATAACTGTCCTCAAAGCGTGTCTTTTACATCGCTATTTATGATAAGCTGGTCCCGGCTAACATATTTTTCTTAGTACTTGATTTTTAGTTTTCAGAAGCTTTAGAATAACTGTAATGACTAATATTTAAAATTTTTAGTACTTGGGTATCAACAGGGCTCTTAGTATTTTAGCTATATTTAGAAAATTATTTTTTGCAGGTACTTAACATGCCTAACACTCAAGACTGAGATTTTTAACTGGTAATTCTTAATTATCAGGGATTCTTGGCTAGTGAGTTAACAAATAAAATGGAGTCTTTTTGTCTACTTACAGTTTATGAAGATTATATAAAAATAGTCACAGTAGATTTCAGATTTCGAATTTTAGCTTTTATTTTGTTAAACTTTATTAAAGCAAAAGTCAATTGATGTTATAACCACTTTGTATGTAAGTGTCTATACCTAATTATAATAATTGACATAGGGCTTTGCTTTTCTTATCTGTAAAATACTAGTTGGACCATTCTCAAGAATTTTTCTTAGTACTGTGATTCTAGGGTATTTAATGACTTTTCTTTTCCTTTTCTTCCATAGGATGGAATGTGGGATGGTAACTTATCAACATATTTTGACATGAATCTGTTTTTGGATATAATTTTAAAAACTGTCTTAGAAAATTCTGGGAAGAGGAGAATAGTATTTTCTTCATTTGATGCAGATATTTGCACAATGTAAGTAGTTCAGGTTTTTTCTCCTATATACTTAGACTATAGCTAGGATTTAAGAGTAGGATTACTGCAGCAGGAAGTAAGGAAGTTGTCAGACTTCACCCTTGATTTGTCTTCTGTATGGCGTTTTATATATTCTCTACTGAGATGCCTTGTACAAAACTGGGTTGGAACACCCCATACCCCGTGTTTCATTTTACAGGCACATAAAATCCTCCTCACTGAATTGTAACCCCTCAGGGGCTTTCTTTCTGCCCATTTCTGAGAGCATTTTAATTCTGGTGTAGAATAATTTTTTCTTTTTTTTTTTTAACTTAAAGGCAATATATGTTAATGTTTGTTATACCTCTGTAACGAGTATGCCTTTAATTTTTTTTTGTTTATATTTTAGTATTTTCTCAAATTTAAAAGCAATATGTTATGGTTATCTGCCCAGTGAAAAATATTTTTTAAATTGTCTCTTTCTAGGGTTCGGCAAAAGCAGAACAAATATCCCATATTATTTTTGACTCAGGGGAAATCTGATATTTACCCTGAACTCATGGACCTCAGATCTCGGACAACCCCCATTGCAATGAGCTTTGCACAATTTGAAAATCTACTGGTAAGCTATGCTTGAATTTTTTTTTTAATATTTATTTTTTGAAACATGTTTTAGAGTAATAGTAAAATTATATATTAACATCTGAGTCATTAGTTTTGACCTATGTGTAATGAGCAGAAAGCTGTATGTAAAATGAGAATATTAAATTACAGACTGAAAAGCAGTTAAGTGACCACCATGACAAAAATTTTCTTGCAGGCTTTGGTTAAGTATGTTTTGTAGTTTAGTGTTCTGAGTGGGTTTTATGAATCATCTAAAATGGTTACATTTGTAAACTGGTTTGATTTATTAAATTTTAAGAAAAATTCTAACGTTTTCTTTCCCTGTCCATTCTGCTTTACAGAATACTAATATAGAGTATGACCATTTAGAATTTGTAGTTAATAAATTACTTTTTCATGAATAACTTATTTTTCATCTTTTAGGGGATAAATGCACATACTGAAGACCTACTCAGAAATCCATCCTATATTCAAGAGGCAAAAGCTAAGGGACTGGTCATATTCTGCTGGGGTGATGATACCAATGATCCTGAAAACAGAAAGAAATTAAAGGAATTTGGAGTTAATGGTCTAATTTATGATAGGTATTTGTTTTTTATGAAAAATTTTCATGGATTGTTAGAAGAAGAAAAGTAGTAAAATTATCTTAACATTTATTTGTCAGTGAAATTTTTTCAAACTTTGGAGTATACCACAGTCAATTGGAAAGTTTGTTAAAAATTCAGATGATTGGTCACTAACCTAGATATATTGACTCATCTTGCAGGGGGAGACTGCTGTTTGCCCTAAATCTCTTCTCTGTCTGCACCAACTTTCTTGGTGGTCTCATCCAGTTCTGTGGCTTTTCATACTTTGTACATCCCCAAATATTTATCTCTAAGTCAGTCCTTTCCCTCCATGAGGGTAACGCTTTGCCTGTTTTGTTCACTTTGGTATTGTCAGATTTTTGAACAATACAATAGCTTAAATAATTTGTTTTTAAATAAATTTGCTGGTTGTTTAAAATGTAAGTCTGAGATCTCTGAGAGATGAAAAGGTTGCTTAGTGTAAAGAAATCTGGGGTTAGAAGGTTTACTCTGCTGAGGGGGTTTAGTGGGCTTACTAATACTTGAATAACATCAAGTAAGTGGTAAAATTTGTTACTGGACCTGCTTTAAAAAAATACAGTCCTTGGATTTAGTTCATATTATTACTGTTTGTTTTATAGTTATATCGCTTGTTTAATAAAGCTTTCCCCACCCCCGCTATTTTGTCTGAATTAGTCTTGTCTTAAAACTACAACCCGGATGCCTGCCTTTTAAAGTATTTGGTTAATATTTCTTTAAGCTGCATGATTCATGATTCTTTCTATTAGATATTTCCATCTTATTAAAAGAAAATTAAAATTTTTAAATTACAATATGATAAAAGTGCTTTATTTAGCAAATTTTGAGGGACTATTTCTTTGAGGAGGAGGAAGGAATGATTGCAAACATTTTCAGGTAAGAAAAGTATATTGTGAGATTATACTATGTACAGCTATTGTAGAATGTAGAAATTTTAGTCAGATCCTTCATCTGAAGGGCCCTACTTGGTTGTAGCCAAACACTGACCTTGCAAGGAAAACAGGAAGATACTGTGTGATTCATATATATCATATATAAGGCCAAAAGAAAGTGAGTGCTTTCTGGCACAGGGTCAACAAAAATAATTTTAAAGAGGAAGCAAGGGATAGATTTGCGCATGGGTGGTGGTGGTTAAATTTGCTCTGACAGATTTTGCATTTTAGGCAGAGGTGGGAGCAGGCACCAGGGCAGGACTGTGTTGAGGGTGTGTGTGGAGGATGTTGAGGTGGCCCAGCACTGGGCTTCTGCTTGGGCCCAATGAGTGGTGAGATATGGACTGGGTTAGTCAATTTTTATTATTCTTGGGAGTTTTTTCTTCTTTTTTAAAAAATTTTAGTCAAAGTATTACATGTATATATATAATCAACCATACTTATATATATATGAAAACTACATGTATGTCTTCTGTGTGTGTGTGTATGTGTGTGTGTGTACGTACTTCAAATAGTTTGAGACTAATAATAAAACTTAACAGTCCCAGGAATTACCTTGCGCTCTGTGGTTAGGAGCTAGTGCTTTCATTGCCAATGGCTTAGGTTCAGTTCCTGGTTGGGCAACTAAGATCCTGCAAGCAATGAGGTGCAACCAAGAAAAACCTAGCAGTCTTTCCTATCTCTTTCATTGTCCCTGAGTCCCTGTGTAAATTTTCTTTTTAACTGTTTCTTGTGGTATTTAATGTGTTTATTGCTATTATTTTTTCATTATCAAATTTAAACATATTGAATATTTAAAATGATTCAGACCCTTTGTTTCATTTTACATGGGGGAGAATTGTGATGTGTTTTAATTTATCAAAAACCAGTTCTCTTTTTACAAAGGCATTAACACAGATTTTAGATTTAATCATGGTTTTGTGATTTATTATCTTATACAAGCTGCTGTGCTTAATTTGCTGATATTTGGAATTTCTGCATTTGTAGTAATGAGTGAGATGGCCTTTAATTTACCTTTATCAGATGATTGTCTTATTTTGACATGAGGATAATACTCACCTCATACAGTAAATTGAGCAATGTTTCCTCTTTGTATACTGTGCCTGCTCAAATGATTTAAAAGAATTCAGTAACAGAACCCACATTTAAAGAAGATTATTATAGATATGAACTCCCTTGTCTGCCCCTCTCTAATTCTATTCCCTTACCCCCTCCCTCAGATATAACTGATTATCAGATTATTCTCTTAAAATTTTTTAAATTCTTATTTTTATTGCTAGACAATTTAGCATTTAGTTTTTCATGACTAAACTTTATTTGTACTCTTTCCCTACTTCCTACATTCTTAAAGTCAACCCATTTGTTGCATGTTATAATTTGTTTCTCTTCATGTCTCTATGATTCTACCACAATTTATTCTACTATTGGAGAATGTTGAGGTGGTTGAGGAGTTTGGGCTACTTTTAACTCTCCCTTTTCATTTTTTCAACTACTAGCTTGTGGTTTGGACTTTTTTATTCTGCTAACTGAAGTACTTTATTACTTATCCATCTGTTTTCCAGCTTCCAAAATTTTGTTGCTGTGTCTCTTTGGTTTTTCTCATATTCAGTGAATTTTCTCTCAATATCCTTATTTTATTTCTAACAGGATATAAGGACTGAACTTAGATGCTTCTATTCAGTCTGATACCTTGATCCAGAGGTCACTTTTCATTAATTTATATATGCCTTTAATTAAGTCTTTGTGTTAGAATAGTTAAATATTTAATAAAATCAGTACTTGAAAAATCTTGTTTAAGAAAATTTTCCCTTTTCTGATGTCATAGTAGCTTCCCAGGTGGCTCAGTGGTAAAGAATCCACCTGCCAATGCAAGACACAGGAGATTTGGGTTTGGTCCCTGGGTTGGGAATATCCCCTGGAGGACCGTATTCTTGCCTGGAAAATCCCATGGACAGAGAAGCCTGGCAGGCTACAGTCCATGGTGTTGCAAAGAGTCTGAGCACTGGTGAGTGGCTCGATGTCATAAAGAGTTAGTGCTTCACGTAAATTGTCTGGTTTTTTATATTTAAACAGTGAAAGGCCTTCCTTGCTGTGCTAGTGGGCAATGCTAGTACTGTCATTGTCACTTGGGGCTCTCAACTCTAGGTACATCTGTTAGTACTACATAGCTTTAGCATAATTTTCACACTGGTGAGTAATCCTTTTTTTTTTTTAATTTTAATGTTTTGGCTGCATCGTGTGGCATGTGGATCTTAGTTCCCCAACCAGGGCTGGAACCCATGTACCCTGCAGTGGAAATCTGGGTTCTTAACTACAGAACTGCCAGGGAAGTCCTGAGTAGTCCTTTTCATCTTGATCTTTTGTGCTTTGAAGTCAAAACCGGGTATGAATTCCAACTCTGTGCACTGTAACCTACCAGGCTCCTCAGTCCATGGAATTTTCCAGGCAAGAGTCCTGGAACGGGTTGCCATTTCCTTCTCCAGGGGATCTTCCCAACCCAGGGATCGAACCGGGGTCTCCCACACTACAGGCAGACGCTTTACCATCTGAGCCACCAGGGAAGCCCAATTCCAACTCTACCTTGTAGTAACTTCCCATCTGTCAGATAAGGCATTGCTGGTTGATGAACTTGGAGAAAAGATACTTGAAGAATCACTAGTAAGCTACAAATTTCATTTTCTGATTCAATTTATAATCAGCTCTTTTGCGTCAGGGTTGCAAAAAGGTAGTAAATAGACTGGAAGAAGAGAAATATTTTTAAATAGAACTGATGCTTATATCTTTTAAAGAAAAAATTACGACTTTGTAGTATAGGTATTCTAGGCATTCTATAGGTTGTCAGATCCTAAGTAAGCCATAAAATTACCTATGTTATGTTTTGTGTTTGTCTCATCATAGGATATATGATTGGATGCCTGAACAGCCAAATATATTCCAAGTGGAGCAGTTGGAACGCCTGAAGCAAGAATTACCAGAGCTTAAGAGCTGTTTGTGTCCCACTGTTAGCCGCTTTGTTCCCTCATCTTTGTGTGGGGAGCCTGACATTCATGTGGATGCCAATGGCATTGACAATGTGGAGAGTGCTTAGCATTTACTGGGTGGAGACCATTTGGGGCATGCACCGCAATTCTGGGTATTCACTTTTCATCACTAAGCACTGTTATCTATGCCTTTTAGGTTTTCAGTCCAATGAAGCAATAATGAAGTATTTTCTATTTCATTACAGTTCTTGCTAGAATTTCAAGTATGCTATTTAAATCACTTGGCCAGGTATAATTACCAGTCAATCTCTTTACAATGAGAATATTTATTGGTTGGTAAATATTTTAAACTAAATATGTAAATGTATAATGTTAAACATAGGATTTTGGAATTAACTATATAAATATCTCATATTTACACTTACTACAGCTTTTTATTTGATCAGGTTGGAAATACTTAGCATTTGGAAGAACATGACTATGCATAATTATACCTGACCATGGGAAAAATAAGTACCTCAAATGCATGTATTTGCACTGGTGATTCCAACTGCACAAACCTTTGTGCCATCTGTGTGTATATGTATTTTTCACATGAATTGACATGCACACCATTTTCATTCAGTATGAACCTTGAGGCTGCTGCCATTTTCCCATTTAACCAAACCAGCACCTGTGTAAATAGCCTAAAGGTGATCCTTGAAAACTTGTTTCATAAATCTTTCAGAAGTTATTTTGCATAAATATTAAAATTCAAAAAAGCTGCAGGGTAACTTAATGTACAGAATATTACAAGTATGGATTGCAGACTTCATACAATAGATGATAATGTATAAATTCTATTGAATGCATGCTTTCTGTTTTAAGCATGAGACTGTACACGTTTACTGTAAGTCCTTGCATCTGTGGTGCTAGGTGAGTATGAAAAGGTGTCAAGGACTGAAAAAATACTTTGTTGCTTAAAAAATAAAAAGGAAAAAAAAGGTCTGTAGGCATGTTAAATATGCTTAAGTGTGTCTCTCACTACCTATTACACACCATTGCTTTGTGGATTTGTTTCGTGTATGTGTGTGTTGTACAGTAGATAAAACCCTGTGTAAAAAATAAATGTCCTGAATTCTCATTGGTATTCTTTATTGGTTAATGAATATCATGCTTGTAATTTATTTAGAAATGTAGATGATTCTACTAAATGTGTATGCATATTATTATGATTATACAAAGGTATCTTTCATTAGAAGCAGATTTTTTTGGCATAACTAACTTATGAGTGAATATTAAATAAAATGCACAGATTTATTTTATTCATTATAAAATGAAATTTCAAGATGTTACTTTTGCAGAATTGGTCTTTTATTATTATGAAATATTGGAATTTAGTGTCCACCCTGAAAGGATGGCTTACTTGCATATAGCTTTTACTGCATGTAGGCAGTTTATTCATTACTGATATGATTTGGTAGTAGCTGAGAACCTAAAACTTGGGTTGTATGTTGTATCTTTACTTTTTTAAGCTGAGTAATGTGGTTTTGGTCAGATCTTAATTGTGTGAAGATAGGCTTTAAAATCCTATGGTACTGTGTTTGTAACACTGATACTTAATGGAAAATAGTTCAGGAAATGGAGTTTTCTGCAGGGATTTTATATACTTTTCTCATGTTGAAAGAGATTTTGGAACACTTTGTGTGGAAATTAACTTGGTGTGAATTAGGCACTTTTAGAAAACTTCTGAAAAAGAATTACCTTTTTTGATCTACAGACCTGGTATAATACAGTTACCATTACTTTATGATAACTTGATTAGCCATATGTGTATTTCTAGTCCTCTTTGTTTGCTCCTCCCCTGTGCCTTTTTAGTTCCAGCTCCATTTTGAAGACTTGCAAATCATGAATGGAAAGAAGAGGAACAGGAAAGGAAGTGATGTAGGGGTCAGTTTCCTCAACAGTGTAATTTGCTGAGTAGAGCTTACAGCCACTGCTTATGACAAGGACAGAACCTCACTGCTCACTTTCTCCTGTCTCTGATCTTATAAACACCAGGGTTAGTAGATGATTAACTCATAGCAAGTAGTAGCTTCCCTTTTTATAGGACTAAGTCCTGGCTTCCATATCACTAGCTGTTGCCCCATACACTCTGCTCTAGCTACACTGTGCCTGTATTAGGCCCTAGCCATGCCGTATTCCTACACTGCTCCCTGTGTCTAGCCATGTGCCTTGCCTGGAAGCCTTTTCTGCCCCTGATACATTCTCCCTGCTCTCACTCATTTCTCCTTTAGCCTTCATCGACCTCTCTGCTGCACCCTTGCCAAAACTTAGGAAGGGATGACTACACCTTTTTTCACTCCATGGCCGAATGTTCATTCCTTTATCATGTCATTCATCATGGTACATTCTTGGTAGACACAGTTAATTTTGCCTCACCACACTGCAGACTCTTCAAGGGTAGGGACCTTGTTTGACAAATTTTTATTTCCACAGTACATGGGAACATAGTAGAAAAGAAGTGTTGGAATTTTGAGGATAATATAATTTGTATCAAATGTACTTTTGAGTTAAGAGATTTAATTTACTAAGAATGTAAACTTTGAGTTGGTTTACATTTTGGCAGTGAATTGGTTTACAGTTTGGCAGTTGGAATAGTTTATTAATGTCAATTTTAAATGTAGAAGTGTAATGTTAAATTATTTTATATTTTTTGGAAATCGAGTGAAATGTTTGATAAAATGCTGCCGTTGTTCTTTGATTTTTCCATTATCTGGGATTATGTACTGTAACTGACTGTAAATATGAGGAGCACAGTTCATTCCTGTGTCAGTGGTGCCGGAGGGCTGCCACCGCCACCTGTTTACCTCACTCCCGTTGCTCCTTGTGACATTTGTCTTTCTTCTCCCCTCTGAAGCCCATGCTTAGGCCTACCTCAGCACCGCTTTCCTTGACTTCCTTCTGCGTTCAGCTCAGGTGCCACCTCCTCAAAAACCATTCCTCTGCTTTTGATCAGAATCATGATGCAAACAAGTACAGAGAGCCTCTAAATCTCACTATTTTGCAGCTGGGGTAGTAAACCCAGACAGGTTAACTGACTTACTGGGTTGGGACTAGAACTGGACTTTGTGACTCCTAGCCCCGTGTTCTTGAACAGTGCTGCCCTCTGAATTTTTGTGGCATTTGTTAGCATATGCTTTCTTGTAGTCCCACTTTTTATGTGCCTGTTCTATTTCCCTTATAAGATTGTAAGCCCCCTAAGGGCAAGGACTTCTTTGCATTTCTAGCACTACCATAGTGTTCTATACTTAGATATGAACTAGATAAATAAATGGTGGAGACTACAATCCTAGTTTCCTAACTCAGATTGTTTCACAGTATACATATGTTTTTGTATGGTGTGCAGCCATGTTGTCTGGAGTGTGTGTGCTCACATGTGCATGCATGTGCATGTATGTTGGCATGTTTAAACATGGAGTTCTCACTCCACCCCCAGTTTCTTGGGGTCACTTAGTTTAGGGGTTACTATAACTAATTTTTTCCTTCATGCTGAATGAGGACAGTCGTGGGAATGAGTGGCAGATAAGGTAGTTTTCTCCCAGGCCTGTCCCTTCCTAGGGCAGTATACCTATATCCTACAGCGGGTGGCTGAATCAGGTACTGCCTTGGGTATGACCTGTGGGGCCAGTGTTCATGAGTCTTGAAGGACCGTCATTATCCTTTGTTCCTTGACTCTCCATACCCTGACTGCATTCCTCTCCCTACCCTGCGTGCGTGCGTGCGCGCGCGCGCGCACACACACACACACACAAAATCACTGGCTTGGTACTCTAGGTTAGAGAGTGGAATTCTATTCATTTAGATTTGAATACAAGTGCTTTACTCTGTTTAGGTTTGGATCATGTACTTTTGGGGTAGAAAGAAAGTATACATTCTAGAAGTAATGTATTATCTGGTGTTCATGAGTGGAAGTTTATCAAAATAATCTCTTAGTGGGTATATATGGAGAAATGGATTTGAAATGTTTAAAAAGTAAGCATATGGTTAAGATCCAGAAGTATGTATTGGAGGAGAGCTCATGGATTGGAACAGAGTTTTCATGAGGCTCTCAAGCCCTTGCAGAATGGGGTGGCAGTCAGTTTGGGGCACAGCCTTTGTAAGTATGGCCAAAGTAGTAGTATGTTCAGAGAGGATCATGGAGCCATCCCAACAATGGAAAAGGATTTAGGGATGTCAGAGTATGTTCAGTATGTTCAGTAGTGTGTTCACTATGGCCTTACTTTGTAAGGCCAAAGTAGTAGTATGTTCAGAGAGGATCATGGAGCCATCTCAACAATGGACAAGGATTTAGGGATGTCAGAGGCCTTGCATCCTTGTAGGAGATAAAAGTTTATTGATGATTTTTAAGGAAAATGATGTGAAGGTGAGATGAATTTTTAAATAATGAAGAAAGTAATGTTAGTGTAGAAATAATAAACCACTGATGGCTCAGCAGTAGGGAATCCGCCTGGCAACGCAGGAGATGCAGGTTTGACACTTGGGTTGGGAAGCTCTAGAGAAGGAAATGGCAACCAACTCCGGTATTCTTGCCTGAGAAATTCCATCAACAGTCCATGGAGTTGCAGAAGAGTTGGACATGATTTGGCAATGAATGGAAATTGTCTACTCCTACTAAATTGATCCAAACATACCTCTGCCTTTTCCCTCAGAAAACAAATACATACGGGATGAATGAACTTCTGAAACTTACTTGCAGAACTAAATAATTCCATGGGAATTATTTACATAATTACTTAATTTACATAATCACATAATTCCATGGGAAAGAAACCAAACCTTTGTAACAGTTCCATGTTATCCCATGATTTCAAATGTATTTCTCTGTAGCCCAGACCTCTCTAAGTCCCAGATTCATATATCCAGTTGTCAATTTGCATCTTCAGTTGGAGATATAATGGGCATCTCACATTTAACACACCTCTACAAAGATATTTCCTTCCTTTCACCAAACCTGCTACCATCTCACTTCCTTCAGTGTTCTGTCCAACACTGTATGGACCATACACTGTCCAACAATGTATGGTCCAAATCACAGCATATTAAGCAAAGAATACTTTTTGCTGAC